TGAATGACTGAAATTGAAATATCTCAGATTCAAAAATCATCTAGACTTGTGAAATAAATTAAAATTGAGATATGATCATCTAAAGTTGATCGTTCTGCCAAAGTACACAGAAGATTACAAAATTTGAGGATACAATACTTAAAAGTTGAATATAAACACACTTCCTTGAGCACCCGAAGAAGACTTTCTTGAGTACCTTGAAGGTGTCAATTGATTATGTATTTATTGTTTTATTAATTTTTGTACTCCCTTATTTTTATGATATCCCCAATTTATATTTCATAAGCTATATTAATATATCATATTTTATTTCATTTTATCTTGAAAGGGATATTGATGCCATGTATCGAAAGATAAATAATACAGATGACAATATTTGACTATTGATAGTATAACTACACACACAATATTGAGATACAAAAAATATTTCTCCCACCTGAAGTTGGAGAAGAAAATTTTAGCATAATAGTGGCAACATAACATTATTGAAGGCTCTGGAAGAGCCCTTATCTGTTTCCTAAAGAAATCAGACTTGAAATTAAAAATACATTGTTCTTGAGCAAAGCCCGATGGAATTTGTTGAGTTTCACTTATATTTGTAGAAACGTATATCACACTAAAACAAGGGATGAGACAAATAACGAATATTTCGCATACAATTGCAAAATTGCCCTAAATGTTCTTTGGATTATACTATGCCAAAATAAGTGTCATTGAAATGCATGCGATAGACCTTAAGTTTATGCAATTAAATGAATTCATGACTTTGAATAATAATCTCAAACATTTTGGAAATACTATAATGAGACGAATAATTGAAAATTCCATCAACAACAATGTTTGGATAAAAAATAACTTGTCTATATAAACAATTGTTTGGATAAAAAATAGCATTGTCTATATAAACAATATTTTGTCTTCAGCACCATGAGAGACTTCCCAATGGGTCACCCATCGTAAAATTATCCTAGAGCAAGCACGTCTAACTCTAAAGTTCTCTCAAGTGGGCTCTTGAAAAGGAATGCGTATGGTTTTTTTACATGAGTAGTCTAATCAATCTATTTAATATATATTCAATCTCGGATAACCAGCCCCAACTCATACATGAAAGAGCTATCCCAGCACTGGCCTAACTCCGGGGTATCACATCCTCCCGCACTTAAGAATGCAACGCCACATTGCACCACAATGATCTATCAACTGCTAGGTTGGATCTGATACCAATTGTAACACTCTGACTCACAATCCATGTAAGTCGGGCGTGTTGGGATCATAGATTGACCCTATATGTCAATACATGTCCTTCCAACACGCTTTGTCCTTACTCATGTACATCCTGGGAGACTTCCCAGGGGTTCTCATATCCTAAAATTATCCTAGAGCAAACACGTCTAACTCTAGAGTTCTCTCAAGTAGTCTAATCAATCCATTTAATCTCCATTCAGTCTTGGATGTCCAGCATCGGCTCATCCATATATGAGAGAGTTAGCTTAGCACTGCCCTAACTCTGGGGGTATCACATCCTTCCTACTTAAGAATGCAACGCTACATTGCACCCCAATGATCCATCAACTGCTAGGCCTCTCAACAGTTCGATGAATGATTGTGGGCTATCGCAGGTTGGCTCTGATACCCACTGTAACACTCCAGCTCGCAATCCATGCAAGTTGGGCATGTCGGGATCGTAGATTAACCCCATATATCAACACATGTCCTTCCAACACGTTTTGTCCTTACTCACGCATAGCCTGGAAAACTTCCTATGGGTCACCCATTCTGAAATTATCCTAGAACAAACACACTTAACTGTAGAGTTCTCTCAAGTGGGCTCCCCAAAATAAATGTGCACATTATTGACATGAGTAGTTTAATCAACCCATTTAATCTCTATTCAATCTCGGATGACCTAGCTTTGGCTCATCCATGCATTGAATAATTGGTCTAGCACTTGCCAAACTCCGAGGGTATCACAATAAGTGCCGAAAACAAAAAAAAAATAAAAAAAAATAGATATGATTGCTTTAAAGAAGCAAAACACAAATTAAATCAAATAAACTTAGCACAATATATTTGTTGAGTAAGAAAAAACCAATGTGCAGGATTTTCGAGAATGGGTCTAGGAACTACGGTTAGTATGTATGTTTTGGTACGCTCGTATCCCTCCTAAAGGTAAAAAGGCTTGAACACCTATCAAGGAAACATCACTATCAAAGGCAACAAGGAATAGGCAATAGTAAAATTGTAGGTAGAGAGAGGAGATAAGTGAGGAGAGAAAGCTTATGTAAAAGGTCAAAAGAGTTAGACCTATTTATAGGGTTTTTCACTCAATCCAAAAAGGGAAATTTCTTTAATTATGATTTAAAAAAAGAAACAATTATAAATAGGAAAAAAATTATAATTAAGAATTTAAAATAAGAAAACTATCAAAATTATGGTAATGATCATAATTATGATTCCCTAAAAAGAAATTTTCCTAAAAATAACAATATATTCTAGAAATTACAAATTGCAAATAGAGTTTTTCTAATTCTTTTAATGCAACGTTGAACCCATTGCTCTGGTCTATAGCCCGATTCGAAAGCCCAATATATTCTAGATTCAAACTCTAGTTTCAATTCAGTCCAATCCAAGCTAGCCCAATTCAAAACAAGATAGATGACACGGCTCTGAATGACCCGAACTCGATCTTAAATGGACCGATTGTAACTCATACTTGGTCGAAGTTACTTGTTTTCTTGGAAGTTGTAATCTCTTGATCTTAATGAAGATGCGGCTTAGATTAGCTTGTCACTGACAAGATGTATGGTTTAGATTAACTTGTCACTTAGTATATATAATCTTGTGTGAGAGGCGGAAGACGCATCGGTAGCCTCACACGGTCCGTGGATTCTCAAAAGTGCTTGCTCGAGAGAAGTTATTTCTTTTGAAATTTGATTTATCTTGTCTTTCTTTCAATTCTTCATTTGTAAGTTTGTTTACCTTCGTCTGCCAATTTTAGTCCAACTTTTTTGTAATTTTACACAGAAATAGGATTTAATATTGATGGATGGAAAGAATATTTAATTTTTCATGAACTCAATATTTCATTTCCCAAATTTGCCCAAAATGAGAATTCATCCGAGTGAAATTGCAGTATTTGAATATCAAACTTGAATAGGTGAGGTTTTCATGAGAATAAGCAATATCACCACAATCATCCCTTGATGGACAATAATAAAAGAGTCTCAATAGGAAACCACTTCATACTAACATGTAAATTTACATAAATTTATAATCTATATTGACTTTTTATAAGAATGAAGAAGTGATTTCAATGGTATCAATTCATGGCACACTTTAATATCATTGATTGCCACTCTTGCAAGCTTCAGAATTGAACTGATGGCAGATTGTGGTTATTTCAAGATTAAAATGATGGAAAACACCTTGTTAAGAAGTTAGCACATTCAATAAAATAGTACAACACAATATGTAAAGTAAATCAAATAAATCATTCAAGTAATTATGCAAAAAAAAAAAACTAGAATAGAAACAACTAAAGATTAATTATTATTATTGTTATACCATGACTAATTAATGACTAATTGCATCATCAAACAATAAATAACAACATATTTAAACCAATTCAACACATATGACGAGGAAAACAAAGTGTGCACCTATGTTTTTTTTTTTTCTTGATGACGTGGAAACCCGCAGCCGCTACCCGAAAGTGCACACTAGGTAAACCCCCGGCCGAATCTAATACCCTGCAAACCAGGCCCAACGAGAAAGTCACACTAGGCGAACCATGTGTGGTAGGCGACCTGAGGTGTCGGGGGTTTGAACACATGACCTCACGATCACAAGTTCAACCCCTGCACCACCAAGTCATCCCTTACGGGACAAAGTGTGCACCTATGTTATTTCAACAACAGCAACTCCAAGGTCAACCTCGGAGCCGGGCATTAGGATCAAATTAGGATCTTCTTCTTTAATATACCAAGATAAAATTTTGAAGCCATATTACTAGTTTTTTTACTTTGTTTTTTGACTTCTTCAAGAATTAATGGATTGAGGCAAGTCAAATCAAGATTGAAATGAAGCTTGCTATGCTTTTACACACCTTAGCTCAAAATGTTCACAATCTGTTGAACTTAAGCAACTATTGAATCATCTCCCTATGTATTTGATCTTCATTTCTTGAGAAATCTTTTACTGATGAATGCCCAAACTATATAGAAATAAATTATTTTCAGTAACTTGGTGATCACTTTGCAAAATTTTATGCCTACAATATTTGCCAGAGCATGCATTTCTTCCTTAACTAATTTGATATCTTATTCTACTAAGTAATTGGTGTGTTTTTAGAATAAGATTAGATTACTTCATGATACTCCGGTATGTAAATATTTTTACCTTATTCAATAATTTGAATGTGTAGTAAACAAGATTAATCACTTCAAAAAATTGAAAAGATATAGTGGTCCCTTCAGTTCATAATTTTTCATACTCAGTTAGGGTGTAGTGAACTTTCACTGATCGATGTAATGTAGATTATAAATTTCTTGATAATAGAAGTTTCACTAGAACTATAAATATATAATCATGGTCTATAAATATTATATTGTTATTCTCCTACAAATTCAAGTTGGATTAACATTTATAACTTATGTTCACTATCTCACATAAGCATAGAGATTCATATGAGTTTTTCAATCTTCAAGTAAACAAGAATCACAAAGGTAAAAACTTAACAGTTCATAACCTAGGTAGCATGGCAAGAAAGCATTTGAATTTTGATCAAGAACAAAACTATTCAACTCAATTTTTCATTATTGAGTGGTGAAGGTAGCAATCAGATTTCATTCTATTGTCATAATTTGCAACATACTCAATGATCGAATTAGCATCGATCTGCTGCAACCAATTAATGGGAAGGGAAACCAGCAGCAAATTAACTTGCTGTTAAGATACTAAATCCAAAATTCCAATCACAGGGTAAGTAAATGAAAGAGAAGGAAAGCTAAAAACACCACATCAAATTAGAAATAAAAACATTGTTTGAAACCAAAACAATTCAATTGTCATTGTAGCAATATCCCTATTTCACTCAAAAGATATAAGATCCTTAATATCAGATATAACGAACCGAAACGGAAAGCGGCTAAAAGGAGTCATAGCTTAGAAGCCGAGCTTGGTACGGCGCCAATGGCGGCGCTTGGCGTTGTAGCGGATGGTGTTGTCCGTGCGCATCCGGATCCAGTACGGGATCGGCCTGTTCTGCCTCTGCTTCTTCGCGAGCTTCTTCTTAATGATGAATGTCTTGTGCGAAGGCTACATGATTCGAACAAATTCCACGAAGAAATTACATCAAAACTACCAACGTAAATTGCAAGACGCATTAATTCAAAACAATAAGGTGAAGAGTAAATCAGATTCTAACCATTGTTGATCTCCGGCAGCAGAGCGCTCTCCTGCGGGCTGCGGCGTTTTTCTGAGACGAGAATGGAGGAAAGCCCTAAATCAACTAACGCTTTATATATACATATATATATATATCTGGAAAATGAAAAACCTAAAAAACGTGAGGATAAAGATAGAAGCGTGTTTAACTAAATATTTAATTGTTATTTTATATATAAATACCTTAGGATTTTTTTTTTTTGAACTGATTCTAATCTTGGACTGGATTAAAATGGGCCGATCCGGTCCAAACTCGAGCCAAACCAGTCCGATGGACAACTTGACCTAAAATTGAAGCCCTTCAGGAGTTAAACGGCGCCAATTTTCTTTTCTTTTTATTTTTATTTTTTTAATTTTATTTTGTTTTTAGTTTGAATAATGCATTAAATGTAATACTTTTTCCGTCTCAAAACTATAGTTTGAATTGTGTTTGGCACAGAATTTAAAAGAATATTAATATTATATTGACAGTGGGTAAAAAATACGTGTAAAAGATTTTTTTGACTTTGCGAGTGTATTGGTGTAAAAAATAGTAACAATTGTGTAATAATAATGACAAAGTAAAGATGGTTTTAAATATTAAAATAATTTTAGTATGATGTTTAAATATTAGAATAATTTTAATCTAAAATGAAATATAAAAATAAATATTTTATTTGATGTTTCTAAGTAAAAAAAATTAATGAATAAGAATTTTGAATTTAAATTTAATTTATTTCCTTAAAAAGAAAATTTTTATAAAATTAATATTATAGTTATAAGTTAACAAAATAGAATATATTAAAATAATACAGTACATAATTATAAGAGTATTTATAGTAGTAATAACTAATACAAAAAAGGTATCATATAATTATAGTAGTATTTATTTTTATGTTATAAGAATAATCCAAAATAATATATATATATATATTAATTAAAATACATAATTTAATATGTAATATAAGCAAAAATACTAGCTCTATCATAAAATATTTTTTTTTTTTTAGTTTCGGTCCGACCCATATAATTTGTCATTTTTTCTATAGAAATATGATTATATACTTTAATCGCATTTTAAATTTTATAATTCAGAATTTTTTTATTCTTAATTAAATTATTTAGTTATCTTAATATTAATATAATTATTTTTGTTATATAATAATTATTTTTATTAATATATTTATTTATTGTTAACTAATTATATTTTACTTAAATTTTCGTACATATAGTAATGCAGACAAAAAAGCTAAGACGGAGGAAATATTATGATAAAAAACAAATAAGAAAAAGAATTAAACAAAATCAAAATTTAATGTAAAAAAAAGAAAAAACTTTTCAAAAATTAACTTTGAATAATTATATATATATTTAATATAAGCTATATAAAATTATGTAAATAATATAAAAATAATAAGTATGTAAATATATTAATTTTTTGAAAAATGTATTTCCAAGGAATTGTGGAAAAACAAACCCTAATAAACTCTTAAATTTATCAAACATTTTTCATGGGTCAATAGGTAAAAGATAAGCTAATTTTTTTTTTGAACAAGTTGTCTTTTTAGTGTTTTAATTTAAGATTTCTTTTACGCAAGATATATTGTGTCCGTAAATATAAAAAAATAATATTTTGAGTTGAATATTGATTTTTGTGAGAGAATATAATATATATATATATTAAAAATTGTATCAGTAAAATTTTGATAAGACAAACAAATCCAAACTATTTTTCAAATATCCTATAACAAAAAATTATGCTCTCTCCATCCGATCATGTTCAAGATGACCCATTTTCTTAGGGACCCGATATTTTTGATAGTATAAATTAGTAAGTTAATAATAAATTATAATATTATTTTATTATTTTTATATGAGTAGTGTTGTTGATATTTTAAATATTTTTAACATTATATTTAAATAAAATATATAATATGGTTATCATTTTTTAGAGAATAAAATTTTATATAATACAAATAAATAAAAATTTATTTATTTATAATTAACTTAAACTTAATTTTACAAAAAATAAAGAATTTTAAGTATATATAAAAATATTTATCTATTGAAGAGGTATATAGAAATAAAGTAATTTTGAGTAGATTTTTACGTGTAAGAAGTTAGATATTTAATTAAATTGATTTATATTCTTCAATATGTTTAAAATGAATAAATTATTAAAAATTGAAAGTGGTCATCTGTTATGCACGGACAAAAAAAAAAGAAGAAAAAGACTAAAAAATAAAAATAAAGGGTCATCTGTCGCAGGATAGAGAAAGTATTATCTTTTTACCTTTTTAAACTTTTTTTTTATTACCCTAAAAAGTACTCTATCCGTTTCATATAATTTGTTCTTATTTTTCATTTTCGTCTGTTCCACGTATTTGAACTTGTTTTTTGAAAATATCATTATACATTTTAATCACATTTTAAATTTTATTATTTATAATTATATTAATCTTAATTAAACTATTTAATTATCTTAATATCAATTTATAATTATTTTTATTATACAATAATTATTGTTACAAAATATTTTCTTTCAGAAAACACTAAATCAAACATTTATATTTTATATTATATTAAAAATCAAATTTTATGTTGAAACGTTACATCAACATTTATTTATATCACATCGTACCACTGTTCTAATTCAAAATTTTTACTATTCAAAATTTAACTCAAAATTCAAACTCCAAAAAGAAAACACTCTAATTATATTTTATCTAAATTTCCGTATATGAAACAAAATATATGAAACCAATGGAGTAAAAAATAGCCGATATAAATCCATATTCAATCAAATGAATATTTTTTTTATACTATTACACAAAATAATATAGTACATTTAATTACTCCCTCCAGCCCATTATGCCAAAAACTTTTTAGCATGGTAATTAAAAAAAATGTATTAAAAAATTAATTATTTTGGATTTAGTTGATATGATAATTGTAATAGAGTGATATATTTTTATTTATTTAATATTTTATGTATAAAATAAATATAAATTAATTATAGCGTAAATAATTTTTATATTTAGACAAATTATTGGTGTAAGTATTTGTAAAAATACTAAAAATTAAAAATATATATAAATATAAATTTGAATTATTTGTAATAAATTATCATTGTAATTATTTAAAATATAAATGAAAAAAATTGTATTTAGTTATACTTTATTCTTCCAACGCTATTTTTTTAATTACGAAGTCCAAAAATAATAATAAAAAATACAAAATATTTTCTACAATACTCAAAAAGTAAAAAAAAAAAAAAAAACTTCAAATACCCATAAAAAAATCAAATATTTAACTTAAAATAATATTATATATATTGTATATTTTTAATACAATTATTCATACACGTCCAAAAATCAATTCATAACATTGGGTGAAAGGATATTTTTTCTTTTTAACAATATCAAATGAAATTTCTATTTTTTATTTTTATATTATAAAATCAATTATACATTCATAACATCAATATTTTTTTTATTACATCAAATAACTATTTAAATTTTTTTTAAAAAAAATTATTATTCAAAATTTTAATCAAAATCCAAAATCTTAACCAATTATATGGTTAGTGCTTATTAATTATGAAATATATTGTTTAAAATTTTTAATTTAAATTATTTTTATTTTTATTTTAAAAAAAAATTTCAGCCAATATATTTTTATTTTTAAATGTACCGAGTCATCGATATATACCAGTATATCGAATACTAAAGTATCAATGTAATATAGTATTATTTTTTTTATTGTATACCAAAATAATTTGGGTAGTTTGATATATATCAATAGTATCAAATTATATATTAATATCGTATCAAAAAAGTGTGGTATAATATTATATAGTGTTGAAACGTGACTTGGATTTAGCGGTCTACCCGACTCGAAACCAAAGTGAAAGGGCTGTTTCAATTGGCAGGATTCCTTTTGGGCTTATCCTAATTAATAACAAATAGGCTTAGGGTTTAGGGTGTTTTGGGTGCTTATAAATAGACAGCTATGGTTCTTAGTCGGATGACATAATTGTAAATCTCTGAATCAGTGTAATAAAATTTCTCCGGTTCCTGCACGTAGACGTAGGTTGACACACCGTCACCGAACCACGTAAAATCTCTATGTTCTTTATTTGCTTTCTTTCTCATTTTCTAATAACATATAGAATTGAAGTTTTTAGTATACCAAAACTTTGTGATTTTTTTATTTGTTTTTTTGTATATTTTTTCTAGTATGATATGCAAGATGTTTCGACAATTCAATATTTTTTACTTCTAATTAAAAATAAATTATTGAAATAATTATGGGTAAAAAATTCAACAAAAACTTCTAATTTATTTCAAAACTAATATTATAAAATATACAGTATAACACGCATCCACGTAATAGATAATATCTATTTTACATTCATAAAAATTCAACAATTTAATACAAATATTATTATTTATTTACGGGCATATTTCCACGTACCTAACATAAAATATTTCAAACTTTAAACAAATAAACAAATACATCATAAATAGATTGATTTTAATTAGTTGAGATTTAATTATTATTAGATTTGTTAATTATTTCATTTTATAGAAAGTGATATAATTGAATAAGACAACCGAAAAAAGAAAGTTGACATAATTTAGTGGGACGAAAAGAATATTATTTTTAATACTTATTATTTATATTATATAAATAATTAATTTTACATATCAATTTATTTTTATACACCCTCAGTCTATTAATAATCTTTTCATTTTTATCCGTTCTAAGAAAGTATCAATTTCCTATAAATGTAAGAAATACCTAACATTATAAATATCCTTCAAATTTACAATATATTATACAAATGTCATTATTTTTATATCATACAATACTAATAAAATTAATTTAACTTTTTTATCTTTATTTCTACTTTAAAATTCCGTCTGTGAATATATAATTATGAGATGGATAAAATATTAGTTAAATTTAAAATTTTAATATGACACCAACTTAATCACCAGACATGTAGAAATGGTTGACAACTGGGCGGGACGTTGTAACCCTAATTGAATAATTGGTAACTGCCAGGGCAGGGCAGATATAGAATACAAGACGACCTCCACCCAGCCCAATTCTGTCCGCAGCCCAGCGGCGGAGCCCCGCCCATCTGCTACGCCACGCCACCAGCGCAGCGACTTCCTGCCCCCTTTTTGTTTCTATTCTCTCTCTCTATATATATGTATTGTGTATGTATGTAATTATTATTTTGATTCCCTTTATACTACGCGCAACCAACGCAGCAGTGATGGACGCATTTCCAAGTGTCCGTGGAGACAGATAGATACATTTACATACAGCCCAGAAGGAAGGTGTATTGTGTTTGTGTGAATTCCTATCGTTTCTTTGAAGCTTCCAAGTTTTTCCCCCAAATGGGTGTGATTGACGTGTGATTTCTCTGCTCCGTTCGGCTGTTTTGAAGATCTCATCTCTACTGGGGAGAAAGAGACGAAGAAATATCTCGAATTTTTACGTGGAATCCTTTTTCCGTGTTTCGTGTGCTCTTGGGTTTTTAGACTCGCTCATCTGTACGCCACTTTTTTCCCTTGTCTTTCCGATCCTTTTTTTTTTTTTTTTTTCTTTTTCTTTCTTTGATATGAGATCTTTGGTGGATTTGCTTGGAAATGGTTGCCATTTGGTGTATCTGCGCATGTGATTTATGGATGCTTCGTTCTGAATTCGAATGTGGATTGCTTTGTTTCCTTTTGTTCTTTCTTGTTTATTTTTTGTGATGTTCTTTTTCTTTACTCTCTGTATTTACTGCTCATTGAATCTTTAGATCATTGTTGGGGTTTCATCTGTGGTAATCTGGATTTTCATTTTTATTTGTGTTGGCGATTGCATCCATATCCATTTGGGTGTTTGCTTTCTAGGGTTTGTTGTATTTATGTTCTATCTGTTTAGGGTTTTAATTGATAGTTAAGCAGGATGGTAATACTGGACACCGAGCAGACCTTACAAAATTGGCAGTCCCAATTTAGGGTTTGTTCTTTCTCAATTGGTAGAAATTAAAATGAAATGTTTGTGTCATTGTGTAGGTGTCGCCTTCTGGAAGTACAAGCGTTTGTTGTGGAGAACATAGTTTTCTGAAGATTTTATAGTTGATGGATAAGGACAAGTCTCATCTTGGTAGTGGGAGTTTGCCCCCATCAGGGAGGTACCCTACTTTCTCGTCGCCCCATGGTAATTACCCTGTGAAGGTGGAGCAATCAGGATCGCCGAATTTGCCTCCATTAATCCCGGGAAGTAGCTCATCAGAACAGAGCCATTTCGGGCTTGGTCTGCCATTGAATTCTAGCCAATTTAGTCATGATATAAGCCGGATGCCTGATAACCCACCCAAGAATTTGGGCCATCGGCGCGCTCATTCCGAGATTCTTACATTACCTGATGATATCAGCTTCGACAGCGATCTGGGTGTTGTGGGTGGATTTGATGGGCCATCATTTTCTGATGAAACTGACGAAGACTTGATCTCAATGTATTTAGACATGGATAAGTTCAATGCAACATCTGCAACTTCTGCACTTCATGCTGGAGAATCATCTAGTTCTATGGCGACAGAGGCAGGTTCTTCATCCGCCCCGGCGGCAAAATTAGCCAACCAATTAGCTGATAATGTGGCTTCAGATTTAAGCGAGAAGCCAAGAATAAGGCATCAGCACAGCCAGTCCATGGATGGGTCAACTACTATTAAACCAGATATGCTGATGTCGGGCTCTGAGGATCCATCACCAGCTGATTCTAAAAAAGCCTTGTCGGCTGCTAAGCTTGCTGAACTTGCTCTTATCGATCCTAAGCGTGCTAAGAGGTAATATTCCCCTAATAATGCTGTAATTTTGTTGGTTTATGCATTTGCATTTGTTAAATATTCCTTGATTGAGAAACCATTTCATTTTAAAAATGCAAACCTGTTCCAAAAATGTTTTCATCATTAAAGAAGATATTGCCATAAACTTTATCATATCGATATATGTCGTACTTGCTTTAAGAAACAATCCCTCTTAAGTTTATCTGTAGTCTGGTGCTGAATTTCTTGAGGCTAATATTATCTGATTTAGCAATGTCAATTTGTCTCATTGCTCTTTTAGCACACGCTGAAGATATTGTTAAAGCTGCTTCTTTATCTTTTTTACTCGATTTACGTGTATTTCCTGGACATAAAGACAGTGTAAACTTGCATTCCATATATTTAAATGAACTGTGTAATTGCTTACAAGTAGGTTGTCTTCAGATTTTTTATACATTCGCATAAGATGGAGTGATGGACTATGATGTGTTGGTGATGTCTAGCTCCGTAATTTCATTTCTGTTCGTAATTTTATCAAGCCCTACAACTATTGAGTGTGCTTCAGTTTTCAATCTCATTTCTGCACTGTGAAATATTTTTTCCAAACTAAAACCATTGTTTTCAAAACCTCTACTTCAAACAAAACATCAATTCTAAAATCTATTTTTCATTAGAAACTTTTCAAATCCAAAACACATCCAAACATACCTTGATCTTAATCCGGCAACCTGAGTTTGTCTTCTTTGCTAGTGATATTTTCACAATAGTTCTTCATTAAAGATCTTGTTATGTATATGAGATGCTGTATCTGCTCATGTGTTTATAAATCCTTGTATATTGATCGTGGAGCATCCTTGCTTTGGCAGTTTATATTTATCTATATACATATAGTTTTCTTGTACTTTCAGAAAGCTTCTGGGTTTTGTAGTTCATCTGATGCCTCAGTTTCTTGATCAATGCTTGAGTATGCAGTTGCATTTGGTATTTTGTATCTCTTTTAATACCTATTAATAGCTATACATGTTACATGAGTAAGATGAAAAATCCATTCTCTACGTTGCCCATGAGAAGTTTAGTGGTCTATTTCAGGACCTATTACTGTTATTGACATATAGGTTGTGATGGTCATTTGGCTCTGCTGGCATCATGCTGTTAGGGCATGGGATCGCCGGCTCCCCTCCCTGCCCAGCCCCTTCTAATACACACTGTGCATATATACACATAATGTATGTAAATGTATGTATATATATATCACTTTGTGTGAGGAGGCGGTGAAGAGGGGGGCCGGTGATCCCATCCCTGCTGTTAGATTCCATATTTGCTGAACGTAATGCAATAACCAATGCCATTTTCCATACATCAGCTGTTCAGCATAGTTACCCTTTAAAATTGCACTTTTAAGGTTGCCTTGTGATAGTTGAAAACATATCTGTCTGAGAAACAGCAACTCCGAAGTTTCTAAATCCCATGTTATTTCTTGCCCTTACGTAGTTAATGAATTGACGACGGACTGACATTGTGTAACTGACATTGTGTAACGTTACTTCTTCCTCTTGCATTACCCAACATTAATAAATAATGAATCTTATGGCAGGATTTGGGCAAATAGGCAGTCAGCAGCAAGGTCGAAGGAACGGAAAATGAGGTACATAGCCGAGCTGGAAAGGAAAGTCCAAACTTTGCAAACTGAAGCCACATCCCTGTCGGCACAGCTGACCTTGCTGCAAGTAATTTAAACCGTTAAATTTTATCCTTTATGCATTAAGTTCGTCAATTACTGACTAATACATAGATCCACTTGCTTGGTTGCCAATAAACTTTTCAATCATGTGCGATAATTAATAAAAGGAAGCTAAATGGGATTAAATTTCGAATAGTTAAAAGGGAAAAAGGCGCGACTGGGGGATAGATGTAGCTGTGCAAATTCTCTGCTACCTTTTTTCTTTCATCTTCTACTTTTAAAGCCAAGACTAACACTAACACGGGATTATTTGAATTTTTCGTTGCTCATCATCTGCAGAGAGACACAAATACACTTGCTGCTGAAAATAGTGAACTCAAACTCCGTCTGCAAACAATGGAGCAACAAGTGCACTTACAAGATGGTAATCAAATGATCCCTTAACTACTTACATCAAATTTCCTTCGTGCTTTGCTTGAAAAATCTCTTTTTTCTGACCTTTTCGCCTGCAAAACAGCATTGAACGACGCACTGAAAGAAGAAATCCAACACCTGAAGGTGCTGACTGGTCAGACAATAGCTAACAACGGCGGCGCAATGATGAATTTTCCTACATCCTTTGGATCAAACCAGCAATACTTTCCCAACAACCACCACGCCGTGAACACACTATTAACAGCTCAGCAGCTGCAGCAACTCCAGATCAATTCTCAGAAGCAGCAGCAGCAGCAGCAGCCGTTGCCACATCATCAGTTTCAGCAGCACCCGATTCATCAGTTTCAGCCGCAACCACAGCCACAGCCACCTCCGCATCAATCTTTAATTCAGCAGCAGCAAGAACAGCAGCAGCTGCAACATGCCGGGGAGATGAAGCTTAGAAATTCCATGGCATCTGCCATTCAGAAGGACCATACTCCCGATCCATCATCATCTAAGGACTAAATCTGGAAGCAGTCTTGCTGTCTGTCATCTGTATGTACTGGAAGGATATATCGTATCAGGAGGTTTGTAGATGTCTGAAATGATCGCCATGGTGGTCTGTCTTATTAGTCGGGAGACTTCTTGTTGTTGGTATTTTGCTTAGGTGAAAAAGACTTATGATACCAGCCAGCCAGCATCGATTCGTAGGAGTTTTACTTCATGTGTTGTAGCCTATTAACATTTTTTCGCATTGTCTTTGTCGGTACTCTATTATCTGGAGTTGATCTGGTTCATCGTCTTGTAGTCGATATTTTGTGGTCGAACTCTGAATTGATGTTGTTGAATACAAAGTACCATTAGGCATGGAATAGCAAACATGGAAATGTATTTTTATTTATTTATTTATTTTTTGTCATTTAAATTTATGTTCATTTATTTTAGATTGTCGTAAAAAAAAATTATTCTCATTTTTTTTAAATAAAAATTATTAGTACTTTGCTATTTTTTATTATAAAAAAAATAATTAGTATTTATTTTTATTAAAATTTGTATTTTAAAATAAGCATACATTTGTCCTACGGCTCAATTTTTTAAGTTTATTATCAAAAAAGTTTTTTTTAAAGTAAATAATCATTATACTTTTATAATAATAAAATTATTATTATTATTCACTTTTATTAAAATCTGTTTGATCATTTACTTTGTTGGTGTAATAATTTTATTTTTTAACTATTTAATTTTAAAATTTTTTTATATAAATATTTTATTATTATTATTTTCACAAACTATCAAGATTCAAATAACTATTTAAACAAACAAATTACAATTAAAATTCACCAATTAAATACTTCAACTGTATCAGTACTTGGATTGATTTGTTCTTGTTGGAGTTTTTAGTCAGAAGTTTTGATTTTGAATAGTAAAATTTTGAATTGATACAGTAGTTTGATGCAATATAAATATGTACTGACGTGATGTTTCAAATGTAAAATTAGATTTTAGTGTAATAAAATAAATAAAAATTGAATGTTTGATTTGATATTTTTGGAAAAAAAAAAAAAAGTTAGAAATAGTAAAATCAAACGTAAAATCTTACAAGTAAACAAAACTGTTATATATTTTTAGTTCAGCATGCAGCACACTCATAATCATTTGTCTTTGTAACACGAACTAGTAACATAGTAATTTTTATTATCAAATCTTAATGTGAATTTAATTTTCAAGATATATAAATATTTATATTGTAGTAAATATAAGAAAATAAATCTATATTAAAATTTGGTCTTATAAATTGTTACGGACATATCATATCAGCGTGACAATATTTTCATACCAAATGGCGTTTCTATATTAGAAGACATTTTCAGCAATTACAAATCAGATATAAAACTATTTCTATATAGACTGATATTTCAAAAAAGAATAAATAAGAGACTAAAAGTATATTTATTTCGACACAAGATAATTAAATTTGAATAAAAAAATTTAATTCAATTATGTATACAGATCAATACGAACTTGATACGATAATAAACAAATTGACTTAGAGTTTATGTCTTCTATTCGAATCCGATACTATAGTCCGATTATAATCTATTAATATTAATTAATTATATATATGTAAAATAATTCTAATGTGATCATTAGCTCACATTAATTTAAATGAAATTCAATCTTACTTAATCCAAACTAATTCATACATATTATACTACACCGACAAAAACTAACCTAACAACAATCCAACACAAAATAATCGAATGAGTCCAAGATTTCGATTCAATTATGTATCCGAGTCAATACAAATCTGAAACAATAATAAACAAATTGGATTATGATTAATTTATTTTATCCATTTAAAATATTCAACCAGACATAAATCAACCAATTGTCAAGATTACAGATAACCGAGAGATTTGACTTTGTAGGATGAGTAGTTTACAACTATCACTATTTCAACAATTGCAAAGTCATGTAATGTGAAAATACAAACAAGCCTTCCCAAAAAATGGCCTAAAAGAATACTCATCATCCAAATTCATTCCCACAATAGTCTTGTCATCTAAATTTATTTTCGTTTTTCTTTTTGGTAAAAAATTACCACTTTTTCTACTTTTTCTTTATGAAACTAAAAATTTCTATTTTTATACATTTTTATTAAAACTCGTGCCCTATCAAATGAGCACAAAATTGAATGACGGAGTATATATTTTGGAAAGGGTAACTTATTAGTGGAAAGGGTAACTCCCCTTTTATCAGAATTTATTAAATCACATCATATATATGTATATATATATATATATATGGAGATAGATAGATAGATAGATAGATATGTATGCAGGCATATGTAAGTCTTGGCTAAGAATGAATTTACATGAGTGTGTAGGCTGGTCCACCTCCACCTTCTGGCACTGTCCACTTTATATTCTGTTTAGGGTCCTTAATATCACAAGCCTGCACAGGTAAACAACTCCTCTCTCAATCATCCATTCAAACCAATAATTAATATTTGTAGATTAAAAGACACTTAAACACATCCAAAAGGGCCACTGATTTACAGATTTGGGATGTATTTGATTGTGTAAAATTAATCGAATCGATAGAGGCCAATATAGTGTAGTAGTACCTTGCAGTGCAGACAGTTTTGAGCATTGATTTGTAGCTTTTGATGGCCGTTCTCGTCTGCTATGTACCTGTTGTTTCATCCGTGGGTTTGGGGTTACAATTAGATGACATTCGGGTAATCATGGTGTTATGATGGGTAAGATGATGCTTACTCGTAGACACGTGCTGGGCAGTATCTTGACTCTGGCGCAGCATACACAGGTAAATTTACTTGTTCGGGGATTTCTGAGTCCCTCAGTCGAAGGTGAGATGGTTGATCGTGATCATGATTTGTGTTGCTCCTAAAAATTGAAGTTCAAAAGCATGGGTAGATATCATAGATTAACATCGTCTATGGAGCTGATTCCACACTATGCATTCATTATTAGCAACTCCCATCGAAATGATTATTTCATTTGGCAGAAAATTGTTTCAGTTAGTGCATATTAATATGGCAAAATAACGATACCCATGATGTTTAAGAAATCATATATTACCATGGTATGAAGTGGATCCCAATAAAAAAAGTTAAACTACAAAGACGCAGATTTCTAGCAGAGAGAGATAGAGGACTACCGATACAGCGAAGTTGGTACATCGAACGAAACTACACCATCAGGCTTTGGATAGTCAATTGGTTGCCAGAATCGTGCTTCCTGGAAATTTCAAGAATCAGTATAATGGAGAATAAAAAGCTGTTGCTTCCTGATTTGTTCCTAAAATGGTCGGAAAAAGAAAAACATTATCACTGCATATAAGAGAAAAGCCGGATTATATGGCTTCTTCAATCTTACATCGGTTGCTTCGTGATCAGGTTTTCCATGCTTCAGAGTCCACGGAGATTTTCCCCTCATTATATAACTGGTACGAGCATAAAATATTTATAATATTATCGCAACAAATTCAAAGATAAAAATAACATAGTAAATTCCAGAAAATGTTTTCAGCAAAAACAACTTACTGTTCTAAAGCACTGAGTACCAAACCACCATAAAGACCATACTCAAATGCCTGCAGTATAACGGAGATTATTGAAGAAAATTTTCACGAAAAATTCATGTAGGCCTGTAAAAGCTGTAAGAAATTGTAGTGACAGTTGAACCACCAAGCAGGTATATTTTAATCCATTTTGCATAAGCAGAGGCATTCCAAGTACTTGTAGAAACAATTTTATAAAATTAACAAGTGGATGGAAATAAGAAACTCATTCATACTCACTGGTCGATAGTTTCTTGCATTATAAAGTTCTTCCCATATCCAGGATTTTCTTAAAGCATCCCATAAGTCCTCTAATGGCGAGCCTTCATGCAGTGTGCGGAATACAGATTCTGCCGCTAGCATTCCTGAGACAAATGGAATCGAAATGCTCATCACTAAATTTCAGCTTCTGCTTTTTCTGAAATAAATTAATTGAAGATGCATTATGTAGAGATGCATAATTCCCATGTTTCCGCAAGAAACTTATCAGAAACCCAAAGTTTCTCTAGGTTGAGGAACTTTTCTAGACATTCCTATGCGTAATTAGTTTTAAGGCTAATATCCAAAACTGATTAATGGAATATCCCAGCTGAAAAAGTTTAAAGTATCACTCCCTTGCTTAGAGGAAAACAATAGAACCACTGCCAGAACATGAAACAAGGAAGTCTGTTTGGTTATCGATTGAGATTGTGGTTGGAAGTTCGGTTATACTATTTAGAATGTGATGTTCGGTAAATGGTTGGGTTATAATATTATATAGATTTGATTAAAACTCAATTTAAAATGCTTATTCAAATATTTTAAAATTTATACCAATAAAGGATATAATTGTACATAATAAAATTATACTCCCTCCGTCTCAATTCAAAATACAAATTTGACCATTTTCGTCTATCCCACTCAAAAATATTATTTCTTATTTTCTTATTCACACTGATACCAACATATTTTAATTTTTACCTAAATGAGAGACATACCATTACACATACAATTAATTTATACATAAAATCAAAGGGTAAAAATATCAAAACCTCTTACATATTTCCCCTAACTAATAAATAAAAGACTATTATTTTTTAATCTACTACAAAACCCCAAATGTTCATTTGGATTGGGACAAAGGGAGTATATAATACAGATAAATAATATTTATCTAGGGTGTGATCTTGCATAAAAGAATTTTCTGACATGTTTCCTGATTAACATTATAAAATATACAATATATATATTCTATCCATCAAAACATTAATAATTCAACATTGATTTTATAATTTTATGATGTATTGAACGCATATAAATACATTATTTATTAAAGAGAGATATAGAAATAAAAAATTATAAGTAGATCTATCTTGAACATTTTAAGAACTATTTGAAATGTTAAAAAAATGGGATCATGGGCAAACCAAGCACGAACGGATGACCAAACACCCAAAGTCTTTCAATTCCACTGAAGCTAGGCATATAATGGACATTACTTTGTACGGAAGATATTTGGGTAATTGCCATCTCAACTGTAATTCTACTTGGATCAACTTCACAAAACACCAAATGAAGTGCACAAAATTTTTATTACTATTACCTGATTTCATGGCAGTGTGGGATCCTTTAATTTTTGGTACATTTAGGAAGCCTGCAGAACATCCAATGATTGCTCCACCAGGGAAAACTGGATATGGTATAGACTGAAAATTAAATAACATTATACTATAATTCTGTTAGAATTAATCACATTTGCAAAGGTAGAAAAGTATGTATTGCTATAATATTCGAAAAGCATCAGCTTTTAGAAAACCAACAGCAAACTTTTGCCTGTATTTGTATTCCTTTCAAACCTACTGGAGAAAGCAATCCTCGACTAACCTGATAACCACCTTCGTTCAATGTGCGAGCACCATACTCGAGGACAGTACCTCCTTCGAGCAGTGGTCTTATAGCAGGGTGATTCTTAAATCTCTAAAAAGAGCAGGGGGTTAAAAACAGGAGACAGCCATCACACAAAGCTATATACGGGTAATACCACTGTGGTTCTAAATAATAAATAAAAATGAAGAAGATGCAACAGCTTAACAGCAGTAGCACGTGCAGTAAGAATGGAATAAACACACATGGACAAACATAATATACTGGAGCTCATGAAAGTTACTACTGTAAGTTAAAATCGAATAGCAATTGTTTTAAAAGAAAGGATCATGCTGTCTCAGTAAATATAAGAAAGGAGTAGCATCATTAAAGTGAGTACAAGATAAATAACTTATATATATAATGTATATAATAATCATAGGACAACAGGAATAACTACTATTATGGGTATATTTCATGTATATATAATAGCTTTGAATAAAATTCCTACTAATTGTGAGTTATTTCTGATGAAATTCAACTTTGAAGTTGCAAATGGACAATTGAAGTGAAAAAGAAGAGGGAGAGAGAGAGAGAAGACCGCTGCTTAGTCACGCCAGTGACTAAGGAAGGTTGAAAAAGCTGGAACCGCATAATGGTGTGCAAAATTATTAGGTAGTTGACAATGAAGGCTAGAGGCAGGAAATCACCGTATATATATATATGTATGTATATGGCTGGTAAACAGGAATCCTAGCCGTGTAGTTCTAATACCATGATAAAAATAAGAAAACAATCCTTTATTCTTGTTATGCATAAATTTGCATGAAGCTTATATCTATGCAACTCTTGCTAAACACAACAAATTCAGGGAATCAAACCAGTAACTATCTATTCTATATTTAGAAAACTAACCCGAAAAATATACATAATTACGTTTTTATTCACATTAATATCAGGAAATGTAACACTCTACGTTCCTAACACTTGACAAGTTGAATATGCAGAAGTTGATATGGTAGTCAAATTGGACAAATTGATAGACTGTCAAGCAGAAAATAGACAGTCAATAGTGATTAGTACTACCGCGAAACATCCTCTACATGTCTTTGTAGGGAGAGGAAACCCTTGAAAAGCAACACTAAGGGACAGCTGCATTCATACTGGGGAAGGACGAAAATCATTTCCTCTTGGTTTCAGTATCAATAAAATCCACAGGGATACAGTGTATTTTGTTAAAGCATTCCAGCCCTAACTCTTGTCCCTTTCCTATAAGATTGAAGGGATATATTTTCGATAGCAGTGTAGAATTAATAAATGTTCATTCAGTCAATACACTTGATCCCAAGTGAAGGAAGAACTTAGTGTTCCTCATCTAGACTATTTGTCAGCCAATACTGCAATAATAAAAATAAATTAAAATAACTTGATGTCATGGCAAAGGCTGGAATGGAAATTATCTTGGAACAGAATAAGTAAGAAAAGATGTTAAGGACTGCCTGGAAAGATCAGTATGCAACGTGGAAGCAAATTTATTCAGTTATCAGGTCAAAGTGAAGGGAAAAGAAGGTAACAATGAAACCAATAGAACACCAAATTTACCTGAAACTCTTCATATGGGTTTAAGAAAGGATTGTGATAGTTTAATGCAACCACAAATCCAATAGCCACCTGTTGAGGGATAAGTTTTTTAAAAGATTATCTCACTAAGTGAGGTAAGTGCAAGAAGCAATCATATATACCTGCCTATCTTTCATATGATACAAGAAAGATCCCCCATAGGTCTTCGGATCCAATGGCCAGCCTAGTGTGTGTAGTACAGAGCCAGGTTGATGCTTGTCAGTATTAACTTCCCAAACCTGGCAAGTAAATGACAGAAGTAAGTACCATTGACAATTGATTGAAACAAAGCACAACAAACTGGTGCATTTAAAGTTACAGAAGTATAGTTGGCCTGATGTATTTAAAGTTACAGAAGTATTGGATGGGATTACACCAAATTAGTGATTCCGTTCATGGGAAAGCAAGAACTACAGAAGTTTGTGGGTACTGGTACTGGTTTAAGATAATGAAAAATAAAGTATAAGATATTGCACAAATAATGGACAGCTAACACATAAGTTGTGCGGAATAGCTTGAATTCTCATGTACAAAGCAGCAAAATAGTACCTCCTTAATCCCCAAAGCATAAGTCTGGTGTTGCCCTTCCCCTTTCTCTCGCAAGTTGAATTTTTTAATCACTGTCTACTCATAATTACATAATAAATCAGATTCTTCAAAGATCTCAAAATCTAAACACAGGAGAGAAACTCCCAGTAATATAATAACCAAGGTGTCAGATACCTCTGACAGAGAACCTCGACAGCCCTCTCCAAGCAGTGTCACCCGACCTGCATTGACCATGAAGGAATTGAACTATATATACTTCCAGATAAATTAATCAGTGATGGTTTAATCATCCTTATTTTTATAACACTAAGTTCTAATTTACATTCCCATCCCTCTTTCCAATCCCTCACCCATGACCTATTTGTCATAGGTTGGAAAGACCTTTATTCAGATAGGACTCCTGGTTATCAACCCTAGGCCAAGCTACATGCAATAGACATATACAGCAACCACAAAAAGGCTAGATGTTAAAACATGTATTGAAGATAATAGAAGAGGGAAAAAAACCATAAGTTACGCTTGAATTTAGCAGGGAATTGTTATTACAAAAGAATGGGAAAACAAATCCGATATGACCCAGTAAACTTATTTGCAATTTGTCAATAATAGAGTTACTCAATAATGTATGCTCAAGATGTATTCTAGCAGCAAAAAGTTCCACTACTATCACATCGACGCTCGTGAAGAATACAATATCTGCAGTCAGGCATTCTCAAGAAAACTTAAATCAGATTAGATGAGATGACGGTGATATATTATAGACTTGCCCTTCAACTCAACACCGGGTTGAAAATTGTCTTTCTTAGAGCCATCTTTAGCCACTCCCATGTCATTGGTTGCAATACCAATAACTTTGCCATCAGTGTCATACAGAATCTGCACGGTACTAAAAACTTAGATTGCGCATTAGTAGATTTTAAAAAATGCATATTGAGTATGAAGATTCACGAATACCTCATGGGCTGCAAAGCCTGGGTAAATTTCAACTCCTAATTCTTCAGCCTTTAGTCCCAGCCAACGCACTAACTGACTCAAACTGAAAAGGTTTACATGAAATTATTGTGACAAAAAGGCACTTTTCCTGATATTTGCATGTATTTGATCATGTAAAATCCACAGGGAAGATATAGAAGATTTAATGTTATGCATATTAAGACAGTACAACGAAAACACTTGTGATTTAGAGTGATGGGAGTGACGAAAAAGTTAACAACATAAACCCTTCCAATGGAAGAATCATCATAGTCTACCTGAGGCTGCCCATTACAGGTTTTATTAGTAGTACGGTTGGCAAAAAATGGTCATAGTACATTGACTACTGAACGTCAACAGAAGTTTAATCATCAAAGTCATAATTCAAAGGGGCATCAAGAGAAGTGGTTTCTCTTGTGATCAGTGTATTACCGGATTCCATGCACCAGCATAAACATGATTACAACTTGGCTACATTAAAGTTTAACCATTTTCTTATTAAGAACAAAAAGGAAGATAGCGTTACCTTATGACATAGTTTCCTTTGTTATTGAATGGTGAAGGCAAGGAGAAAGCACGGCTTTTAGAAAGTAACATAAATTTATCAGAAGAAACAGGAACATGGATAGGTGCCTGCAAATGTAGTTAGAGATTGGAAGTTACCATCATAAGCGTAACAAGAAAGAATATTGAGCTGATTTTAAAGCATACATCAATGCACAAAAGGTAAATTATCTTTGAGCCATGTGACATCATTTTACCAATATTATTAACACACTGCTGCTAGAAGACATAATTTTACCATTTTCCTAGAGATTATGCAATTTCGCTACTTGGTTATTTCAGTTCATCCTCTCATGCGGCTACCCCATCTGCGGAAGATGCCCTCACACGAAGCATTAAATATCTAACTTGAATGCTAAAATCCTATCAGCATCTGATGTGACTAGATGATATAACGCAAGAACTTAATGACTAACAGGAGCAATCTAAAGGCAACTGAATTGACATGAAAATAAATTTAAAGTATCCTCAAGGTAGAATAATCACAGATATTACAGACAAAGCAACAATGCAGAAGATTTTAATTATATGTTTTTAAGGTTAATTAACTACCTCTGTTGCATACCAAACCTATTATCTGAAGCGAAGTGATGATAAGTTTTTTTATGCTGCTTATTTCTTCAAAGTTCAACCTAACTTCATCAAAATATTAAAATCTCTAATAGATTGCATAGAATAATCGTATTAACAAGTGCGTGAATAATGGAAACACCCATCTACTCTCTCAAAGTTAGGTTCTGCAGTTTTCTACAAAGAAAAGTATTATATTCAGCAACCAACTCAACTCAGTGCATACATAGCTGGAGACATTTTTTCAATCACCTTGAAAAGATGAATTTAAATGCCCATTTGAATTTTAATAAGGAAAATGAAGCCGAGAAACAAACCTCTTCCTGTTTCCAGTTTGGCAGAAGCTCATTCAATGCTCGAGGTTCAAACACATTTCCTGATAGTATATGAGCACCTAAAATATAAATGGTAAAACTAGCTGTTATTTGAGGATAAGAATTATATAACACGAAAGTTTAACAAAATTTCAGTATTATCTATAAGAACATAATTCGCAAGCAGATAGGAAAGAAGCCTAAAGAGATTATAAGAACATTTAGTTAAGTCCGCTAAGTCTTCACTTAAAAAGCACTCCAGTGAAAACTACAATCCAAATTCTATTTCAGAATCATACAAGCAAGAACCATAGCTTGGGAGTAATTCTTCCTATAAATTAAATATTTTTGGTAAACAATTTAGATTGTTTTAACAACACTAATTTGTAAATTTCAGAGGTGAGTATAAAAACAGGAGAAAAATCTTGAAGAAATCATGATGGATATTTATATTGAAAAGGCAGGCACAATATGAGTTGTTCGTATTCCAATACTGAAACAAATCAAACTCAGTTTTCACGCACAGATCAACACATAGAATACCCTATGCGATTAGACGATCACTTTAATTGACAAGTTGCTTTTGCAGTAAAAATGTTTACAATGTCATTAATAAATTCATGAGTCAAGCGAAACAACAAAGCAGAACAAATACTTCCCCAGAACATGAACATAGACGATATGCAACAAATTGTAAGGCAGTGGTTGCTAATACGAATTTCAAAACTTCTACTAAAATGGACATAAATAAAAGCTATAGCCATATCTACGCAAAATTGATTGCTTTTATAGAGTAAAGATTACAGATGTCCTACACATTTATAGTTATTTTCACTTCTAACTTCATTTGCAAGTGCAAAATTCATCAAAATTTCTCTCTTTATGACAAAATATCAAAATCGAAACCTATTTTTCATTAAATACACACACACACACCATTCTCATTTCAAAATCACATCCAACATCTGTGACATTGCACCAAACCACCATTTTCTATACTAACTTTTTGAAAATAATCCAAAAACTCCTAAGCTCTTCCAAATCATACCTAAACACACTTTTACAGTTCACTAATAATTCAATCTGAGTAATCTTAATGGAAAATGTTAAAGCTGAGGAACGAAAAAGCAGCAACTAAGAACACACCTACTTCAGCCCCCTTCTCCACAACACAAACTGATAAATCAACATCCTTCTCCTTGCAAAGTTGTTTCAATCTTATAGCTGCTGATAACCCAGCAGGCCCTGCCCCAACAATCACCACGTCATAATTCAACGACTCTCGGCTCACGGTTTCCGTGCAGAAACTCTTCACTCCCGAAGCCGGACCAAGGCACCTCCAAAGCCCAATTCCATTCCGACCAAATTCTGCAATTCTCGGACGGATTCTTTCGAACGCAGCTGAAAAAAATCCTTCTCTTCTTCGACTTAAAACCGAAGTTCTTGTCGAGTACAAGGAATCCAAACATGAGTGAAGATTTCTAGCACGGGACTGCGTACGAGGAGAGGCGTCAGACGGCGGGTAAAAAGGTGGGACATGAACAGCGACCGAGTTGCATAAAGCGGATTTTGAGGATTTGGATTTGGGAGAAGAGATGAATCTAAGCATGATTTGATAATAGTTGGACAAACGTACGAGGAGGATGTACAATTTTTCGCCTATCTACGGGGAATGTCTCCTTTGCTGCGTATGATGCATTTCAGTTTACGGTTTTCCTTTTTCCAAGGTTCAATCCCAAGTTTCGAAATTTGAACATGAAATGAAAGGGTTTATGCAACGAAATTTAGATAAAGTATAATTAATAAATAATTAAAAAATATATTAATAAAAATAATTATGAATTAAGATTAAAAAAATTATAAAATTTAAAATAGATTAAAATATATAATTATATTTAAAAAAATAAATGAACAAATTATGTAGTACGTACCAAAATAAAAAATAGGAATAAATTATGTGGGAAAGAGCGACTACAAATTTTATATATACGATAATGCAATTCAACCTCTCGGCAAGGATAACTCCTTTGCTTATGGATACAGTGTAGGTAATTTAGAAGAGTAAGTTATTAATATTAAATTATAATCTAATTTTATTTATATGAATAGAAATTGTTAATATTTTAAATATTTTTAATATTATATCTTAATTTAATAAATAATAAAATTTTATATAATAATATTTTATTTATTTATAATTAATTTAGGAGTAATATTATTAAAAATAAAAAAATTTAAATATAGATAAAAATATTTATTTATTGAAAAAAGTGATAAAAATAAAGAGTATTTGAGTGAGTCCCACTTGTAAAAATTTAAAAATTTAATTAAATTAATTTATATTTATTAAGTATGTTTAAAAAGACGAATAAATTTACTAAAAATAAAAAATAGTCATATTTTGTGCTGGACACAAAAAAAAATAGATAATTTGTGGCGGAACAAGAAATATATTATTTTATCTAATCAAAAAATTAATGTGTAATGAGAGTTTCTACTGGAGACAGCAAAGAATGTCCATGAGTTGAGATTAATCTTCTATCTTGTTTTCTATATTTAAGTCCCCACTGTAACAGAATTTTCAATTAAACAATGACCATTTCTATTGTAATTTTTTCACAAAATCAAGAATAGTATATGATTTTATTTTTTATTTTTTATTTTTTTTTTTAAAAAAAGATAGTACTAATGCAAACTAAATGTAAAAGTAGGGATGGACTACGATGCTGAATTTCAAAAATCAACATGATGTTGATTTTCTAAATCAACATATATAAAATACAGAAACAATGCATGCCTTTATTACATATATTACATACTTTTTGTAATACAAATATGTGTTTGTTCATAACTACAACGTGTATTATATGAAAGTATGTTATATTCTAAAAATAAACGGTTGTATGTGATGTGTGAGAACATATCATGCATTGTTAGTTCATATATTGTATTTGTATTATATTAACGCATATTGTATATTGTATGTGGTCATACCGTGTGCTGTCCGTCAGCACGCGGTGTGTTGTTCAGCATAATGCTGAATTTTACATTTAGCACTGTAACCGCTGCCGTAAGTAGGGTATGCAATGTTTAATAGTAGTTTTTATAAGGTGATTGATATTTATACTTTATTAACTCAAAGGATTTGTATCTAGTTAGCAACTTTATGAAATTTTCAGAAGATATATAGTTCAATGGAGCCAAAAAGCTAAAATTATGCCCTCAAATCAAAATAGACAATAAGTTTTCATGAAGAAAATTATAAAATGTATCAATAAAAAATAAGAGTGTGCACAAAATATATATAAGTGGACTTAGACTTAAATTAAAATATTTTTTTCATCCGTTAAATTTACTTTCATTTTATTTTTTAGTTCGTTTGTTAAATTTATTCAACTATTAATTTTGGTAAAGTAAACATATCAATATTTAACTATTATCCTTCGTTTAATACTTATTTACATCAAATGTTACTATTCTTATTACATTCTCTCTCATTATTTTCTCTATTTTCTAATTAAATTTAAAAAATACCTCAAACTATTTTTTTATTCAATAAAATATTTATCGGACAAAGAGAGTATAAGATAAATAATACATACAACATATCTATAGATAACATCCTCTGCGGCAGTAGAGACCAATTTGAGTTTATGTAAGACCAATTGGAAGTGATTGCGAAGAAGAGATTTAGTGAAGATATTTGATGTTGGACATAGAAGACCAGAACAAGATGTATAGTCCTATGGACAACATGCTAGTAAATGAAGTGATAATCAAACTCAATATATTTGGTGAACTCGTGAACGGTATCAATATGTGTCATCTTTATAACACTCTGACTATCGCAGTGAAGACAATAGAAGACGGCTGAGGTACACCAAGATCGATGAGTGATTGGTGTAGCCATAAAAGTTATAATGTAGAGTCAGCAAGAACACGACATTCTGACTCAACACTCGATGGAAAAATTAGAGTATGCTTCTTGTTGCGCCAAAAGATGAGAGAATCACCCAAAAAGAAACAGAAACCAGTAGTCAAAAGATGATTAGTAGAGTCACCGGCCCAATCAGTATCTAAGTAACCACTAAAGTGTCAAGGAGAAACGAGATGAGAAGTGTAAACCATGCAGAAAAATATCTTTCACATAACGAAGAATGTGTAAAACGTCAGAGTGGTAAGAGGTCCTCAGAACAACCATGAACTGACCCATAATATAAACTACATGAGTGATATCAAGTCTAGTGATAGTCAAATAGATCAAACTCCCAACAAGCTGATGATACATAATAGGATTGTCAATAAGAGAGTCATCATAAGGAGTTAGTTGAACATCATATACAAGTAGTGTGGAATCTATCTAACAATCAGTGAGTCCAGCCTGAGAAATAAGATCAGAAATATACTTAGTCCGAGACAAATAGAAACTATCAGAAGAATCATAGACCTCAAGTCCCAAAAAGTAACAAAGGGGACCCAAACTCTCCATTTCAAATTACTAACTGAGATATGTATGTAGATCAAAAATCTTAGAAACACAATTCCCGTGATGATCATATCAACATAAAGTAAAAGGATAACTATGAAGAAGAATGGTAAAGAAATAAACTAGAATTGTAACTGCACATAGTAAAAACCAAAATCCAATAGCACAGAGCTAAATGTGGCATACCAAGCCTGAAGGGTCTGCCTCAACCCATATAAAGACAACGGAAATGAAAAATCTTCCCAAAAGACAAGAAACCTGAAGGAAAAGTCATGTAAACTTTCTCACAAAGAGTGTCACACAAGAATGCATTCTTTACATCTAACTAAAAAGGATACCAGCGATGAACAACAACAGCTGCAAGAAGGCAACGAACAGTAGTAAGATAAGCAACTAGAGCAAAAGTCACCTTATAGTCAGCTCTAGGAGGCGGTGAAAAGGCAGACCGATCAATGAGTTGCGACATAAAAAAGGTAGGATTTTCAGGAAAAGAGTCAGCAGGAGAAAATGAAAATAATAGAAAAGATTAGTTAAACAATATTCTAAACTTAGATAAAACGGAGAAAGAGGTGTGTTCCCAAAACATAACATGACAGGATATACGTAACATATTGGAGATAGGATCTCAATTTCTATAGCCCTTATTTTCGACCCCGTAATCCAAAAAGCAACATAATAAGCTTTAAGTTGTAGCCTTGTCTGCTCATAAGAAGAGAAGAAGCACACATAATCAAAGAGATAGAACATACTATAATAAGGGGACTGACCATATAACCGCTCGAAGGGACTGAAGTCATGAAGGATAAACGAAAATAACTTATTCGTAATATAAATCGCAGTTAAGGCTGCTTCCTCCCAAAACCGATCTGGACACTTAACAAAAAGAAAAAGGACACGTACAATATCGAGAATTCATGGTATTTGCGGTATGCCCTCCTATTGTTGGGACTTATAAGGGCAAGAATATTGTACCATAATACCCTGACTATAGAGAAACTATAGAATCAATGACTCATTATACTTACAAGCATTTTTAGTACGAAAGACTTTATTAGGACATGAAAATTGAGTGTGAATCATCTGAGCAAATTGAGCATATATAGTGGACAATTCAAAATGATTTTTTAAAAAATAAATCTAAGTACACCATAAAAAATCATCAATGAATATTGCACAATATTTAAAACCACTCAAAGACACAACAAAAGATGGGCCTCAAATATCAGAGTGCACTAAAAAAAGATTCAATAGCTATAGATGAATTTTTTGAAAAAATAAAAGAAAGTTGTTTACCAAGTTTTTAATCCATACAATTAAATGATTTAAAATGACCTAAACCGAAAAGATCTTTATTGTAGAAAGACTAGACCGTACTAGAAAACGCATGACCTAGACGAAGATGCAATGAAGACTTGATTGATCAAATGTGAGATCTGTTGAGCGGAGATCAATGTGAGGGGTACGAAGAGACTCAAGATCAAATAATCGACCCATCTTGAGCACTTAACTCGTCCATGAATCCTGAACAGGGACACAACAATAGGAAAAATTACAGTAAAATCTTGCTAAACTAATTACCCAATAAATATAAGATTTAACACTAAGTCAGGGATACAATATATATCGGGAAGTTATAGAAAAAAGGAAAAATACAAGACTGGTGTAGGTATATACATAGAGGATACCATTGAAAGTATGCATATGTGGTAATGGGGAAACATGAGACATGAAAGACAAATTATGAGGGTTTGAGGTCATGTGATTACAACAATCAGAATCGAAATACCAATTAGATGTACCTGAGGTGACAAATAGAGTATAATTGGAATGGATAACCTGTTTAAGGATGATTTATGTCTTGAAAAGTCTAAGGCAAACGTTGAGACTCATTAGTAGCAACAAATACAAGTGAAAAAGCAACAATCGAGGAAGACCCACAAGTCTCCGGAGGTCTAGAAGCAGAGCCACCTAAATGTCCGGAAGTAGGACTACCTAAACGACGAGATCTGGTGGGACAATCTAAAGAAATATAGCTACACAAGTAACATATATGACAATCTTCGGAGAAGTGACAGAAGTGTGATCAAAACTCCTGCAAACTCGACATAGTCCAGTACTAAGTGGTGAGGACTGTCGAGATGGGGCAAATCCACGAGTAGAAGTGGCTAGGGCAGAATTAGAACTCGATGTCTTATCTAACTGAAGTTGAGTCTCCTGAAATATAATCTTCTGAATAGTAGCATCAATAAGAGGAAATGGATATTGATATAGCAGTGATGCACAAACAACCTTATATTCAGGTCGAAGAGTCTTCAAAATCTTAATAAGGTCAATATGATTTTGAATAATTTGTGCCTGTCGTAAACGATATCGAATAGACTGAACCTATGGAAAAAAATAAAAAATCATTGACTAATTGATCAGATTGCTATTAAATGAAGCTCAACATGCTCCAAAAATGATAGTAGTGAGCAAGTCCTATAGCATGAAAACAAGCAACATGAAAATCACAAGCTTTCTTTGCAGTTTCAAAGAGAGTCAATTGCACATGAATAAAAGGTACATATGTATTTCATAAACAATCTTCCAACTTGACAACATAATTTTCAATTTCTTGAAAAATGGAATCAACATTCACAATACAAGATGGATTAATATGTGTCATAACATATTCAGTTACAATACGCTATAACTTCCTAACAATTAGAAATTTTTTTTATAAATTGCATCCAAATATTATAGTTATCTTCTGACGGCGCACAAACAAATGTGAACAAAAAAAATAGATATTATATAGTTAGAAAATAAAACTCTCATAAAAATAAAATCTAATCACACCACAATGTAGAGGACAACAAGACGAGGCAGCGGACAAAATATAACGGTGATCGGTGCCGACGGTGGCTCTCACAGACCGGTCAAAGTTCCTGTAGCATGAGAGTTGACCAGAACGTGTGACTCACACGCGCCTCTGATTGGCAAGATTTTTCCGGCGAGCAATCACCAATCGACTCAGAACATGGTGGTGTCGGAGGTGAGAAATGCTGATGACTGGAAATAAAGCAGAATATTAATGTATTGGTCTGTTGGCACTGATACCATGTCAATTTTTGAAAAGAAAGTTATAAATGTATTACTTGAAAATAACGGTGTACACAAAATATATATACAAGTGGGCTTAGACTTATATTTAAATATAAGATAAATAATACAAACAATATGTCTATAGCTAACACAGACAATGAAAACAAGTTTCTTGAAATTAGTCTTATGGAATAAATATTAAATATTAGATATTGACACAATTATTTTATCGTCTATTCCACTCAAATTACATTCCGAGAAGTGCATTAGACAAAAGCATACAAAAATAGACAACAAAAAAAGGAAACCGTGAGAAAAGCATAGTAGAAAATAACATTTTGAATATACCAACGATCGATCCAACAATATGACAATAGAAAGTGTAAGAAAAGATCGGAGAAAGAAGATATCGATTTGTTCATCGCTCGTAGGGGAGAGTCGCGATGTGGTTATGCGCGACGGTCCCAATCCACAATTTCCCCTTAGCCTCCCGCACTTCACTCACCAACTTCATGACGTCCCCTCGCTTGTCGTCCAACACGTCCAATATCTGTCCCTTCTCGTCTAGCCGCGTGATCATCGTGTACATTCGCATCCCCACGATCCTAGCCAAATACCTCATTGGGATGGGCAGCCGGAAGTATGCGCTCCGCAACCATGGGTTGTGGATCAACACTTCTTGCGCTTTCGTCCTACAACAGTCTATCGCCACCCAGAACTCCCCATTGTCGTTCATTCTTATGTTGTCTGGAAATCCCGGAAGGTTCGCCACCACTTCCGTCTGCCCGCTTTTCGGACCCTCTAGTATGTACTTCATTACTCTGTTTAGATTTGAATTACGTATAGTTAATAGGGATGATTTAGTATAACATACTGAAAAAATTTTCCTGTAATGAATTTTTTTTAGTATAACATACTGATATTGTATATCAAAATTTCATACTCATACTAAAATAGTTCGGGATATCAAAAATTTGAAGGAGAGAGCGAAAAATCTGACCGAGAGAAATATAATAAGTGTTTGGTTTGTCTCATCAAACATTATTTAAACATAAAATTCAAATCAATTTGTTTTTCAATCCAAGAAAAACACTATACAGATAAATATATATACATATATATTATATATATATATATTGTATATATATAATACTTTTTGATAAATTTTATAGAAAAATGTCACTTAAAAGTTGATGGGCAAACAAACTTATAACCTTTTTCAATCCAAACCTAATTAAACACAACATAGCTAAATGTTTGGTTCGCCTCTCATTTACTTCCCGCACTGTACGTTACCAACTTTTTTTTTTCAAATATTTCATCCATCCATTTATAGTTTTGTATTTATTTATCTCTTTCATAAAAAATTATTTATATACATTAAAACGTCTTTATTTTCTTATAAAATTAATTTATATTAACTATATATATAAATATTAAGTATTCTATTTATTTAATTATAGAAAGTTTAATTTTCCATATATCAATATATCCATACTGAATCTATTTTATTAAAATATAGCATTTAAAACAATAAATACATAAATTAAATTGATTTTAATCATATATATTACATTCTAAATAAATATTAATTAAATAAATTACGTCCAACCAAAATTTTAACGAAAATTCCAACCATTTAACTACAAATACACTAAAGTTTTGAATATTTAATTTACAATTAAAGTTAAAAAATAATAATATTTTCATAATAATTAATATATGATCATGAATATATAAATAATACTTCATTGGTTCTATTAAAATCGACAAGATGATCCACAGTTTTTTCTTACCTAATTTATCTAGTCTCTCACACACAATATATATAGCGTTACTTACCTAGATCACACAAAATGGACATGACGAGGATTCCTTTTCCAGATGGATGCATATTTTAGGGAGTAGAATTTTAATAGGGTTTATATATATGAAATAATTTTATAAATTCTATTTAATAAGTAATTGAAGAAAAAATGGCTATAAATTAATGAAAATTACAAATATTTTGAAATATTCCAAATTATACAACAACAAATATATTGGAAAAAAAAAAGGGTGTTTGTTTAATATTGAGTTATTTTTTAGATGGGATGGAAGAAATTATATTGATAATATAAAAAGTAATATTTTTGGTTGAACGGTAATGTTTTAAAAGAAAATAGAATATATATAATATTAAATATCATGTCGATAAAAAACTAGTTGGACATAAAAATTCATAATAATTTAATACTCCACATCCGCCATGAAATACATACTCATTTGGATAGAACGCGAATTTTAATTAATATAATATTATATTAGTTGATTCTGATATAAAATAAAATATTTTAGAAAGTATATAAATGACTAAATAAAGTGAGAATTTTTTGATAATTTGGATATGTAAATAGTTTTGTATATTCATAAAATATATAAGTTTAGGAGTGTGTAAAAGTTAAGTATAAATAAAAGAAATGCATATATTTTTTTTTTTATTACAAATAAAAAAATATACATAGACTGTTTTTTTTAGTCTCGTATCTCACCCTCTTTGTCATTTTAGGACTTTAAGTAAACCATGTCTGAGAATAGTCCCATAAGTAAAATTCTTTCACTAAAATGATCCTCCGGTGCTGGACTTGTCACGTTGGCCCGCCGTTGCTGACGTGGCGCTAACGTGGCTGACATGTCATCGCCACGTAGATGCTATGTCAGCGACGCATGGAACTTTTTTTGGAAGTTTTATTTTACAAAATATTTTGGTAAAATTTTTTTAGTCCCGTATATGACCTCCTTTATCATTTCTAGGACATTTAAATGGACTCGTCTGAAAATAGTCCTATAAGTAAAAATTTTTCGTTAAAATAGTCCTCATACGTGGAATCTATGTGGCGATGACATGTCATCTGCGTCAGCGCCACATCATCAACGATGGCCAACGTGGCGAGTCCGGCACTAGAGGACCATTTTAGCAAAATTTTTTTACTTGCGGGACTATTTTGCAAATATGATTCACTTAAAGTTCTAAAATGATAAAGGGTTAAATACAGCTAGTTTACCCTAAATTTAATGGACGAGTAGAACACATGCCGATTAGGGTTAGGTTATGAAATTAGTAGGTAGGTAGGTACCTGCAATTTGTAGTTTCGGTGAAGAGGAGAAAAGATTGGTCTTTAGACAACTGAACTCCGTTAGGGAACGCCAATCCTTTCAAGATCACGTGAGTCTTTTTCGTCAGGGGATCGTATCTCAGGAGTCGTCCCGTCGCTTCTCCTTCCAGCATTATGAAGAAATGGTCGCTGTATTAATTTCAAATTATAATTATACACGTCACCTAAAAACTTAAGCTTAAAGAAATACGCATAAATAAATTTATTTATTAATTAATATACATACACTCGGTTGTATCGGTTGCTGGTGTCGGTAAAAAAGACGGATCCGTTGGCATGAATGTCGAGGTCGTTGGCGAATAGAATCGGCTTCCGGCCGGCGTGCGTGGCCAGCGGGACCGCGACTCCGCCCTCGGGCCCCACCATTAAAAGGCCGTGGTAGGCGTCCGCAATGTAGAGGTTCCCGGTGTTCTTGTCAAACCGCAGCCCTAGCGGGCGCCCGCATTTCGGCTCGTATTTCCACTGCTTGTGGGTCGTCGAGTCCACGCCTTGCATGCACTCCTCCTCCGACCTGCGCCGCAGCCGGCCGTTCAATTTATTAATCGAATCGAATAAATTTAGAATTAACTAAAATATTTGTTGTTATTAATTATATATTAATCAATTATACATTTAAACTTTTAGGTAAAACTGTCGTTTACCACCTTCATACTATAGAAATGTGTAAGAGTGTGTGTGGTCATGGTGATTATCCAACCTAATAATTTGAGGTGTGTTTTGTTTCCATCTCTACACAATTTTTTTCCTATTTGACTCCTTATTCCTCAAGAATATACTACCTTTATGCATTTTATAGTAAAAAACTTGTATAAAAATAGAAAAAATAGAAAAAATAAAATAATTTTTTACTTTAAAAAAAAAGAAATTGGCTTTTTTTTCTATGACAAAAAAATAGTGAGCTTATTTTACGATCGAATGAGAATATATATATATATATATATTTAACATAATATCACATCAAATATCATATTAATAAAAGCCTGAAACCTCCCAACTCTATTTAGATTGAAAAGAAATACACTTTTGATTAATTAAAATTTGATATTAATCCAATCCTATATTTAACTAAAATAAAGTAAGTAAAATTGTCCATAATTTCTTTGTAGTTTCGAAACTCATTGTAAATTTCTTTTACTTTAAAAATTGTTTAGCACTCCCTTATACTTTAAAAAAATGTTGCATGAAACTCCTATTTGATTTCGAAACTCAGTGTAAATCCTCACGTTACTTTAAAAATTGCATGGTACCCTCTTATACTTTCAAAGATGTTGCATGAAACCAACCCGCCATGCAAAAAATATAAAAAGAAAATCACCTTCTCATCACACACGGGAGGTTTCATGGCGATGAGATTTCATGCAACATTTTTTAAAATATAAAAAGGTGCAATATAATTTTTAAAGTATAAGGAGATTTTAAACTGAATTTCAAAATCATAGGGAAGTTATACACAATTTTACCAATAAAGTAAATAGTGTTATTACTTAGTAGCATAATCATATAATCCATTGAAATAATTTCAAAAATTATATACCAGTACGGAGATCCGACGGCGAAAGTTTCCCATCGCCTATTTTCACCCATCCACCGCACAATCCGGCCATCGGCGAGGCCGGCATAGGGGCCTCGTCCAAAGGCGTCGAATTCAAGCGATTCGGGGCCATATATTTCATCCTTGAACTCCAAGTTTCCGTGGCCTAACCGGCTGCGATTGTCCCAAGGCCAGCGGGACATGACTTGACGGTAAGGCGCAATGTTGTTCTTGACGGGGCGAAAATCGTGGCCGCCGACAGGGCTCCAGTCGAGAGGGTCCATTAACAAGAAGCTGAAGGCCAAAAGGGAAATGAGGACATAGGGGTGGTGCAACAGCACGAGTTCCTTCTTCTTCTTCAGCAGCAGCATTCGATTCTCCATTATTGCTCGAGAAAAGAAATACGATGAAGTTGGAGTTGCAGGGTGTTATATATTATAGAGTTGGATCATGAGTTTAATTAATTAATAATGGTGGAGGATTAATCGATCATGTGTTAATTGTGATACCCTTTTGTCGTTTGGGAGTAGGTCTGCAGTCCTTCACTTGTCATGCTTTCATCAATGGATCTCCATGGATATATATATATGTATATGTATATTGTATGTATATGTTTGCTGGTGACCAACTGTGGAACTGAAGTGTTAGAAACACAGTGGCCATTGTTGAATAATTATTAACCTTCACAAGTTGGAAGTGAAAGATATGAGAGAGTTAGGGGCAGGCGTTTCTTGTTCTTGCTAACCATTTCTGTACCAATCAATGTCTAAATTTTTATGATAACTTTAATTTGCCTTTCTTTTTGGTGTGTTTGTATGGGGATTTGAATTTTGAGTTGGAATTTGAATAGTAAAAAATTTTGAATTTGAATGGTTGTATGATTTGATATAAATAGATGTTGATGTAATGTTTTGAATATAAAATTGATTTTTAGTATAATATAAAAAATAAAAAATAAGTATTTGATTTGATATTTTTGAAAAAAATTAGGATGAATAGTGTATTTAAAATCCAATCCCCAAACAAACACGTATAATAGTTCCTAAAAATTCGCATGGCAAGAATATTAAAATAATGATTTTTTTTTGTTCATTTAATGTTTTTAGGAAAAATGTTTCTCCATAAATACTATTAAAAATCTGTAATGTATTTATAGGGAAGAGTATGTTATGTGCTAAATGTATGCGATCACGTGCTGTTAATTTACGTGTTGTATTTTTATTATATTAATATAAATGATGTTGTATTTTTATTATATTAATATAAATGATGTGTTGTCGAAAGTAATACAGTGTGTTGTTTGTTATTACATAGTATGATGTTAGTTTATGTGATTCATTTGCATTATATTAATATAAAAGATTGCTGTCATAAGTAATACATTGTGTTGTTTGTTATTAGATAATGTGACCGTAGGCGCCGCCGTATTTATATATTAACACAATATAAAATTTAATATATATTTTAGCCACTCATAAAATAACAGTTCAACAAAAAAAAAACTATATTGTATGCATATTAATCATATGTTTCATCATATTTAACATAAAAAAAAAAATACTTCAAATCAAAACACTAAACAAATACCCCTAAATAGATCGATTTGAATGAGTTAAAATTAATTTTTATTAATTTATTATTTTTTGTTTTTTTTTATAGAAAATGACATATTTGAATGTGACAGTCAAAGAAGGAAAGCTTGCATATTTTGTTGGAATGAAATAAATATTTTTTATATCATATAATTTCTTATACCTAACATAAAAAATACATTCATTAATATATATATATATATACAATGTGAACACAACTATAATAACAATAGATTTGTTAAGATCAGGGACGGAACTATACCAGGGCTTGGGATCTTAACCAAATTTTTTATAATTTTTTTAGTATTAAAAATATTAATTTTTATGTATTTATATACAATTTCTCCCCCTTCCCAAAATCAAACTATCTAAATTCATATATAATTCAATTCATATATAATTCAGTTAATATTATTTATTTAAATTTATTAGTTAAATACTAAATAAATTATAACATTTTGCCTCCCTGGAATTAAGATGCTAATTTCGTCACTGGTTAGGATTATGGCTCCAAACAAATTTTCACAGAACCTTAACAATGACAAAAATAAGAACAAAAAATTTAAAGGATACAAAAATATACTTAATTCGATCGAAATGACCTACATCCACAGGCAATTCTAAATTCCATAACTCTCAATCTCCCAAAAAACACCTTGAAGGCAAAACAAGTAACTCAAAAATATATATGCTGAAAATGATAAAAATTGAGAATAATTTTATTCTAAATTAAGAATCATTATTGTTATGAATAGTCGATTATGGTGGAATGCATACACTTTTTTCTCAGATCGTTATACCAAATTACTTAAGACTATTCCTATGTTAGTTTTTGGTTGTCACTATACTTTTTACCTAAGAGACCCGATAGATAACTTGAAAAAATAAGTAAATATATCTATATTTTGTAATAAGATATGATAAACTAAATATATTCGCACATGATATTTATGTTTTATTTTTGCTTGTCTAGGTGATGAGAAATTACCCACGTCATAACATAAACATACGGACAACTGTTACTATATATGCTCCAAAGAAACGGGTGTTCGGACAATAGATAGGTCAAAATTTGAAATCTATGTCATTTGCTAGTAATTTTATTATACATTCTCACTCTGAGTGTTGGGCTAACTTTATATTTGGGGGAATCTTTGAAGGGTGATTAATAATAATATTTATGAATGTTGAAATAATTGAATTAGAGAACACAATCCATACCTATAGTTAGAATTGTTGACAATATTCTTAACAAGATCATGATGTAAAAAAAGAAGAGAAGAATAACTAAGCATAATAAAGGCCTTGCATCCAGAAAATAAGAATGTTGGCACAAATATCTTTAGCATCTCGCAAACTTCATATTGATAGATCAACTACATGAATTTTTAAGGTTGTTGGGGATAATGAGTCGTGCACAATTGATTTGTAAATGAGAGCATGTACTTGCAAAGAATGAAAACTATATAAAATTTATTTCAAGCACGCATGTGCTTGTATATATCACAAATAGCTATCTTTATATGATTTTTTACGAGTACTATGAAGTAAACATGTACCAATTGGCTATAAATCATAATTTGACATTTGAGCTTAATAGCTCTTAAGTTGATGCTGAAAATGTGATTCATCATAAGGTCATGAATTCAAACCTCTGATGTCTCCAGATCACCTGATACACATGGTTGCTTACTGTGACTTGATTTGATGGGCTTAATTTGCAGGGTATTAAATTCCGTATTTATTTTTTTTTTTTGTATTTTTACATGATAAAATAATATTATCTCTATATTTTATTATTATATATTATATTTTTTTTTTAATTTATAAATAACATTAAATATTTTATTATTTTTATATATTTAATCTTAAAAATGATTTAAATGTTATATTAATAAATTAAATTATTTGTTTTATTATTTGATCTTAAAAATAATAATAAAATTTTAAATTAAATAAATTAAAAATTTAATATTATAAAATAATATATATGAAAAATATAAATAAAAATATATAATATTATTTGATTAAATACAATATAAAAATTAATATTAATTATAAAATTAAAATATAAATATAAAAAAAAAATATTTTTTCTTATAAATAATAAAATAAAAATTACAAAAAATAAAATAATATGCGTGAGAGTGCCCTTTTGCAGAATTTTGCCTCATCTTCTCATCTCCAACTCATTCTTCAATGCTCCTGTTTACACTTATCTTTGTTGATGTATTATTTTTCTTTTACAATTATTACTATTTTTTTATTTTATTAATATTTTCATTTGATCTCATAATTTTGAATTTAATTTATAATGTAAACTCTCTTTCTTTTAAGTAAATATGTTAAGGTTTGTTCTTTTTTATTTTTTCCCCACACAAAAAATATTAATATATTACACATATTTATTATTTTTATATTTTCTATATAATTTCTTATTTCACATAAAAATATATATATATATATTTCTTGAAATCATTTTTATAAAACAAACACACCCACGTAGGTGTGTATTTTTAGTTTCAAATCTCATTTTTTTAATAATTAAATTGTGTATTTTTTTAATTTTTTTTTTCTTTCATAACACGTCATGTCATACATTATTTTAATATATCAAAAGAAACACACCTTATATGATGTGAGTTTTAAATTACTTACATCAAATTCATCTATTTTATTATCAGAACTTTGTATTAATAATGAGACTATTTTGTATTTTAGTTCACTTTCGTCAAATTTTACATTAATTTTCATTTTTAATCACCTTAGCTTTATCGGGTTTGTTTTTTTTTTTATTTTTTCTACACATTTTTCTAAAAGTATTAATATACCACACGCATTCATTATTTTTATATTCCCTAAACAATTTTCTATATCCCACGTAAAAAAAATTACTTTCCAACCATCTCACAAAACAAACACACATCGTATTTCCATCTTATGATATTTTATCATTTTTTTTTTTAAAATAATAAAGTTTGAATTTCCTACTTTTCATTACGTTTTTCCATGATGTTTAAATGAATTTTACTTTTGTATGTCTTTTTCGTAAGAGATTTTCATTCCACTTATGCTAAGAGCTTGACATAATAATCTTACTTCCTCAGCATTTGGACCTATATTGGCTTTTATTTTTTATTTTTTCTTTTTTATGAACATTAATAGTTAATAAAAAATTACTTTTTCAAAATTTATGAAAATTATTTCCTAAACTTGTTTTAAACTACTCAAAATTCTTTGTGAATTTTATTTTCAATATTTTTTGCAGTAAATATTATTTTTATTATTACTATACAAAGGGTTGGTCAATATTAAGGCTGCTTACTAGGCAGTGCATGGATGCAACTGTTTTACCTACCAACTGTAATTTATAATTAAAAGACTCATTTTTAAACAAAAAATAAAATAAAATAAAATAAAATAATGCAAGAATTTCCATAGCTGGTTCACCCACCCTGCCAAATATATCAATATAATTAACCACAATGAAATAAACTCCATCCATATAATTACATATGTGACACAAAAATATCAAATTCCCTAAGTTATGGGAAAGGCAAAATCTGTGACTCAAAAAATCTTGAAAACCCTAAGGGAGAAAAGAAGCTTTACAAAAATCAAAAGCCTGATGATGAAGAGGAAGAACAAAGTGGGCCCAATCTCGTCGTCGTCGCCGCCGTTGTCGGCGTACAAAGGGAGCGCCGATATCGTTGCGCTGAGTGACCGGCTCGGGGATCTTGATCGTTGGGACGACGAATACTTGCAAGCGAGGAGGGCGATCCTAAGAAGCTATCATCTTAAGGATTGCGGCCGCGGCCGCGACTATAGTTTGAGGAAGAGGATGAAGAGTATGACGAAGGGGCTTTGCCGGGGCGTTGCGAAGGTGGTCCGAGATAGGGTTGTGTTTAGGGTTTTCCGGTTCACAGTGGGATGGCCGTGGAGGCGCAACGGCGGCGGGAGCCGAGTTCTTGCCTTCAAATGCTACCTTCCACACCTCAAAGGTGTTCCACCATATTGAGTACTCAAGAGATTTTACCCTATCTTGATATGCACATGAAAAAAGTTATGTTTTTGTATAAATAGTCATATTGTGGGTGAGAGATGGCTTAGTTTGGCTTGTGTTTGTATTTTGTATTTAAACGGTGATCGAATGTGATATTTTATAAGAAAAAAAAAATGTGTTATTTCATAGAGGGCGTGCCGATGACAAATACTAGAAATCACATACATATAAAATAAAATTGACAGTACGTACTAATATAGTATATAATATGTTTTGTCTTATATATATTTATATGCTATTTATATATATATATATAATATTTTTATATGTTGATCGGGGAATCACCATGATATATCCCCAATCAACATCCTAACTAAAAGAAATATATACTAAAAAAAGAGGAAAAAAGCCATCGATATTTAAAAGGTAGAGCCTATAAAAAAATATATTTATTTTTTATTTTTTACTTCCTCCATCTTGTGTTCCTTTACTAAATTTATATGAAAATTTAGAAAAAAAAAATATTATTAGTAAATAATATAATTAAAATTTTAAAAGACTTTGAATTACACTTTTTAAATAAAATTAAAATATATAATATTTTTTAAAAGAAAAAAAAACGAAATAAGTGAGACAAACACGAGTAAAAAAATGAACAAAATAAATGGATAAAGAAAAATATATTATACTCTTTCCGTCCTGTTGGAAGGGTACGGTTTGCTTTTTGCACATAGACTTTTTAATATTAATATTATATTAGATTGTAATAAAAAAATAAAAATACCCATATAGTACGGTGTAATATAAAAGTAATGACATTTTTGTAATATTTTGTAAGTTGAAAGAGTATTTATTATATTAAGTAAATAGTATAATTACCAAATTAAAAAATAATAATGAGACGGATTAAAATAAAAAATGGTAATCTTTCAATAAAATAAAAAAATAGTAAAAATTAATTTATATTCAAAATATCATATCAATAATTATTTATATAAAATAAAATAACTATTTTAATTACCTTTTTTGCGCGTAAAGTTGTGCATGCTAAAAGAGAGGGCCAGTCTATTGGACACTAGTGTATTTACAGCGAGGTGAGAAGATGGGCGCGTTAATAATTAATTTATAATAATTAATTTTAATTAACATATTGGGATGATCTGTACTCTTCATTAAATGCCATATGAAACAGAAGCAGAGCTGTAGGTGTCAGCCAGGCAGGCAGCCATTGCTGTCCACAAACAAGAATCAGAGAGAGCTCCCCACAGCCATACATTTGGATTCTGCTTTCTTGCCTCAGCCCTCTCTCGTGCTCTCTTTTGATACGCCAATCAATCCTAACTGCCTTATCCCTTCCCCTCCCTTCCTTCTTCACAACTCTCTACGGAGACAGACATACATGCATCTGAGATTTTTGTGTTAGGAGAGCTCTCCCTGCCTGCCTGGACTATACGGACAAATATTCTTCTGATCAGATCAGGATCAGGAATTCAGATTTATATTGTGGTTTTGTTGTGTGGTTGTTGAATTTTGGTGATTAGTTTCTGCCATCGGAGTAGCCGATTTTGATTTTAGTTCGTGGTAGGAATTGGAATCGGAATCGAAATTGAAATCGAAGAAAAGTGATTATTGTTGTTGTTGAGATGAAGATCCAATGCGACGTGTGCGAGAAGGCTCCGGCGACGGTGATCTGCTGCGCCGACGAGGCGGCATTGTGCCCTAAATGCGACGTGGAGGTGCATGCCGCAAACAAGCTTGCCAGCAAGCACCAGCGTCTGCTTCTCCAATGCCTCTCCAACAAGCTTCCTCCCTGCGACATCTGCCAGGTACGGTACCTACCTCATTCGCATCTCCTCCGATAAATATCCATTGCTGACGTCACTCTGTTACGAAGGAGGTAAAAATGCCTCTTCTGATGTGAAACTCCTTTTCGGTATGATTTTGCACCTTGATATTGCCTTCTTTCATTTGAATTTAATAAATCATGTAGCTCAAAATCACGAAACCTAACTGCACAATCAAATAGTGGCTATAACCTGATATATGAATCTGTTCTCCACAGCTATCCAACTTTACCTGTGATTCGTTATGCAAAATGACTTTAGATTTAACTTTAAGGAGCATAGAGTGCTGTGTTTGCAATTGCATCCTTCGTGACCTCCTAGGATCGATAGCTATAGAACAATGGATTGATTTATGGATTCTGTTCTTGTTCCAAACCTGTTTGATTGAACCAAGTTATTAATTATTGCCATGTAACTTGCATTGAACATATAATCAAGAACTACCTGTGATCATCTGCAAGTTTTAAGGCACAAGGTGTCTTCTGTAAGAATTAACAATGTCCTGAGTTTCTGTCGATTCTCTTTCTGTATTGTCGATAAAAGCCACCTGTTGTGTTGCTTCTTATTTATTTCGGTCTGTTACCGAACACAGGAGAAGACGGCATTCATATTCTGCGTCGAGGACAGAGCCCTCTTCTGCAAGGAATGTGACGAACCGATTCACTCCAACAGCCTCACTGCAAACCACCAACGATATTTAGCTACTGGAATACGGGTAGGTTTGAGTAGCAGCTGTAATAATGGAAGTAGCAAGGGCAATGTGGAGCCAAAGCCCCCAAAATCGAATCTACAGCAGATTGGTTTGAAGAAGATGCCGCAAAATGTTTCTGGTATTACGTCGCCATCTTGGGCTGTTGATGATTTGCTGCAATTCTCTGACTATGAGTCCTCGGACAAGGTAAGATTTGCTATTGTATCTCTGTTGTTTCTTACCTAATGAATGTGTTCATTCAAAAATGGCTTCATAATATTCGGAAAGTAGACTTGTTACACTTAGCTCACTTTCTACACTTAGTCATCTCATTTTCTTGGAAACTAAAATCTTACACGATCTAGCTATTCAAGAAAACCATGTTGGCATAAATAATATTGGCTCCATTCCTAATCAAATGAGCCCTTCGGAATTTTGTAATAAATTGAAAAACAATAGTATATTATTAGTCAATGGAAGTGTGTAAGAGTTCTTAATATTTTTGCCGTAATTGCATGTTTAATGATATGTTTGTAATTTAAATAAAAGTTAAATCTATTTTAGTAGTAGTGTACGATTACTTTTTCTAAAATAGAAAATTAAAATGATAAAAAGGAGTATTTTGAAGTGAGACAGAGAGAGAAAGAGTAACATTTCTTAAAAATGTGTTCACTTTCCTTCTATGTTCGTCTCTTAGAAATGTTGCTATCATACTACTTTTTATATTTTTTTAAAACCAAAAATACTTACTTTTACTTAAACTCGTGTCCAAAAGTATGAACATATTTTTTTGAGACAGAGGAAGGAAGTATCGACAAAGTGCCAAATGGGCCACGGCATAACATATTTACTATGCGCGTGTTGCTTCCGCCGTCGCTTCCTAACCAATGGATTCGGAGACATCAAATGACACATCCGAATACCTTAAAAACACAATCTATCCAAATTGCTGAATTTTTACTTCTTGTCCAAACATTGCAGCAGCTCGAGTTTAATGAGCTGGAGTGGCTAACCGACATCAATATATTTGGCGATCAAGTGGTGTCCGAGGAGGCTCTGGCGGCTGCGGAAGTTCCTCAGCTGCGCGGTTCTCAGCCTAACATGGCCGCCATGTGCAGACAAGGGAAACTTTCCTCGGCAGCACACAAGAAGCCGAGGGTCCTATTTTCCGGCGACGATGAAGAGTATTTTACAGTTCCCGATCTCGGATTGGGCGGTGATTGATGACTATAAACATTGGACTTGAAAAAACCTCGATCATACTGCGCGGCTAGCGAATGTGTCATGAACTAGCAGTAATGTAACATATGTCGTGCATTTGTACTATAGCTTTGATAATATACATCAGTGTGTATATGCAAGCTCGAGATTTTGTAACGTTTATTACGAAAGTATTTTTACCAAACTATCGTACGAGTGTAGTTTCTACTTTTGGTAAGCTTTCGGTAAAATAGAGTTTGCAGCAAAAACTAAAAATAGCTTAGCATTATGCCCTCGAGTTTTTTTAGAAAATATTATATCGCAGGGATCCGTTCAAAATTCATTCAAAATTTTGTACTTCTATTATTATTTAATAAACAAATATTTTTATATACATTCAAAACTTTCTATATATTTCTAAATTAATCTATATTAAGTATAAATAAATATTTTATATATTTTTTATTTATTTATATTATATAAGTTTTTATTCTCGATATTCATAATGTATATTTTATTAAAATAATTAAACATATTTTTAATTTTTTTAATTTGATACTATATATTACTATCGTAAATCAAATATTAATTAAATAAATTATTTTCTTCTCCGATATTTTCATCTACTATCAATTTATCGACACTTTTGAGGACCTTGTTAGGGTAAATCTTGCACAAATATATGTACTACACAAACTTTTTTTTTAAAAAAAAGTATTTTTAATGCTCTAAGAACTATTTACTATTCGGTATTTATAAATAAACTTCATACTCTTTTTTATATGCAATTCATCTTCAATACTCAATAGATAGACAAGATTATTTAGATTTAAGGGTTAAGATTATCCTCTTCAGATTATATGAAATTTTTATGTACTTGTCAACAATATCTTAAAAAAATTGTTTGAATAAATAAAGACGAACTTACAAAATATCCAAAAAAATTTCAATTGTTCCGAAAAGTATCAAAATTTTATATATTTTTTTCTCTTACTTCACCATATTGAATTTGATCCTAAACGATTGAAACCATTTAAATTATTATTTTACTAATTAAATATAGAATATTTGAATACTTAGTTGTTTGGTTATAGTTTTTTATTTAAATTTAAATTTAAATAATATTTTGATATAATATTTAATAAAATAAAATAATTTATTTTTATTATGAATAATGTTGATTTTAATTTGTGGTAAAAATAAATTATTAATTGTCCATTTATCGTATATACGGTTTCGAAATAACTTTTGAATTTATTTCGAAATTTGAAATTGAATGTTATTTTGAAAATATCATTAGATGGATCCAAATGTACTTGACTTCCATTAAAAGCTAATTTTTTTTTAAAAAAAAATATATATATATAATTTTATAATTGTTTTGCATAGCGGTGCAAAATTACAAAAAAAAAAAAATTAATTTTTTAATAATAATAAGTTCGTAAAATATATAATATATATATATGTCATTTTGTAGATAATAAAATTTTATATAATATAATTACATAAAAGTAAAAATATTTATTTATAATTAACACAAATTAATACTCAAATTATACTATTATTAATTTCAAAATTTTAATTTAATATATATTTTATATCATTATTTTTTTATATATCAAATCAATGCACATCAAAACTCTCAAATTCAAACCAAACTTATAAATAAAAAGAAACATAAAAATTCAAACCCAACCTAAAATTTAAATTCAATTCAAAATTGAAACCTAATTCTCTCAAACTTACTGAAAAAAAAAAAAAAAAAAACACCCTTAGTTTTGTAATAAACGAGGTGACTTCATCGGATGGTTTAGTAGACCCGCTCTCGCTAGTCTGATCTTTTAATACTTATTTTTATGTTGTTTTTTTTTTTAAATTTATTTATTTATTGACATTATTAAATAGTATTTTCATTAATGATGCAATTTAAATAAAAAATTATTAATATTTTTTTATTTTGTTTTACTTGTAGTAAGGGTCCGTTTTGTTTTTTTATTTTGTTTTGCTTGTATTTATTATTATTATTAAGAAGGATAAAACAATAATTTTAACTGAAAAGTACTTCTACTTATTTCAAAAGCTACCCCCAATGTGCTTCTGAAAAAACACTTTTCAGCTTCAAAAGCTGCTTCTGCTTTTGGATAGAAGCCAATTCAAACAAGTGCAAACTGTTTTTTTAGAAGCAGAAGTCAAAAGCTCATGCCAGAAGCCAATCCAAACGGGGCTAAATATTATTTGTAGTTTTATTATTAATTGTTTGCCGTATTTTATTTTCTAAGATTCTCTTCTGTGTTAAACATATATATTAACATGGTGAACATACATTTATATACTATTTTTTATTTTTTTTAATTAAACATTTTATTAGTTTTAAAATATAAAAAAAATCTAATAAAAAGTTAATATAATTTGTATTCATAATTTTAAATAATAATTTTTTATTTTGATAATTATTTTTAATATACATGTACTACTTTAGAATACACCTACACATAAAAATTAACTACATAATACTTTTCATCGCATTCAAAATTCTACCACTTTTAAATAAAATAATATTGTGTTCAACAATGTAAAAAATAAATAAAAAAAATAGTTCATGACAAAACATACAAATCAAACAATGCCAATTAAAAATTTGAAATAAAATCAAGAGTCTTGTCTTATTTTTGCTTTAAGTTCGTCAATTATACTTGAACTTGGTGTTGCATATGGAAATAACATGGATTACGACACACAATTTTCTCCTAAATAGAGTTGTATACTTGGACCTCCTTGAAAATCATCACATGATAGTATGCTTTGACTCTTTTTTTCAAAAAACATTTTTTCCTATAACAATAATAAACATTAAAATACTTTAATAACAAATTATAATATAACGTAAAAAAAATTATATAGCATATAATGTAACTTACTTGATGCGATAATTTTTCCTTTATTTATTTATTTATTTATTTTACTCTTGTCATCTCAATGACGCTTATGAATATTTACCATGATTCGTCTCTCTTTCATAGTCGGTAGATCGTGTACAAGAACTTCAGTTCCATTGGGAAACACATTATTGCAAATATTTGCATTATTTAAATCTATCATTTCCAACGAAGCTCACATTTATTTCTTCTATGTTCTTCGTACCCCCAATTATAACCAATCTTATTTTTGCATTGGTTTTGGCTAATGAAGTAAGATCATAAAACTTCTTCATTGTTGTATTGACAAATGTCACCTCAATAAACAAATTACTATTACTATTTTGAGTTGCATTGTCACTTGATGTAGAGAATATGCACTTTTGGCATCTTTGGTCCATCTTTTCAAAATATATTTTTCGGGTATCATAATTTGTCTATTATTTATAAATAACAACAAAATATGTCGACATAATATACCCGTAGTTTCAAACTTATGACAATAGCACCAAACTTCAGCAGTATTACTTTAAAGTCGCACAATGTACTTCCTCGAACTACCATTAAGAGACATGATCTTAAAAATCCTCAAGTAACCATCCAAATATTGAGGTTCTTCTACACATCCAATAGATAACACTTCTCTCATTTTTGTATCAAACAATTTGAAACTTTTGTGTGTGAATATCATGACAGCTTGCTTGAGTAACGGGTTATGAGGACTAAAAAGTGGGGGTTGTTTATAGCGTGATTCAATGTCATTTACCTTCTCTTTTGCTCGCCAACAACTTATGACTTCTTCATAACTTTGAACAAAATGTAGCAATGTCGAAGTACTATTTCCAATTTCAGCCTTCAAAGTTGTATTAGTACATTCACTCCGAGATATAGCCATAAGCCAAGCACTAAACACCTCAAGGCTAAAAGTAGTTGACCATCTTTGTCGTAAATTATACATCTTATTAAACCAACTATTTTCATTAATTCCGTGATCAACCACCATCTCTTGTCATGTTGCCTCGAATTCTTTTTAAAATTCACAAAAACTCATGCACTTTCTCCATGATCTTTTGAACTTTAAGTCGGAGTTCAACATTCCAAAATATGATGTGAAATTTTGATTAATATGCCACTGACACAATCTATGATGAGTAAGGAGAAACTTGTTGTCGACTGCATTCATGATTGCTTGACTTTGATCCGTAAACACAACTCCCAATTGTTTATTGTCCATGGACTCATGAAACACATCAACAAGCCATTCAAATGATTTTTGACTCTCGTCAGTTAAAAATGCAAACCTGAACATGACATTTTCATTTTGATTGTTAATTCCGACGAATGGATAACACACAAGTCCATCTTTATTAGTTTTGTATGTTGTGTCGAATGAAATGACATCACCAAAACAAACATAATCTGTTAAGCATGTGGAGTCTCTGAAAAATAAATTTACCATCGTAATATCATCTTCATCCACCTTTATGTTCCAATAAAAATGTGGTTCATAAAGTGACTTTTTTCTAAAGTGTTGTACCACTCCAATTGCATCACGTCCACTAATTTTTTGTTTATTTCTTCTCTCTCTAGCAACTTCATCACATGTATCTTTTTGAATGAATCTTAAGTTGGTCTCTCCTTGTGCCATAGTCTTCATCAATATATATGCTTTAGCAGGCTGCATACCGGCATTCAACAGTGTATTATATACTATTCTATATTATTCACTCAATCCATTGTGAGATTACAGTATATATGTTTTGTTTCATCGGAGCTATACAATTCATTGTTATGTTCACGGTAAAAAATTGTAATATTCCAAATTTGATCCTCACTCTGAGAAAGTTGTTCTTTTTGTAGTTTGTTACTTTTTGATTGAAGATTTGTCGTCCTTTTCACCTTCACAAGACTATCTTCCTATTAAAAATCCTGCATTTTTTTTTTTTTGCTATACACAGTCTTTCCTTTTATGACTCCAAAACACTTTGCACGAACATATTCTAAATATAACGTATATGTTGTAGCTTCATTTGGTACACTTTGACGGGGATAATGTCTATTTTCCATCTCTATAATTGACATTAAATTTTTCTCATTCATTTCAATTCATACTTCATTCTCGTGACTTCATCTAATGGAATATTTAAATCTAAATTCATTTCTGTTGTTGCCTAAAGAAAAATTATTATTATTATTTATAATATTTTATGATATTAAACTACATCTGTTGAGTTAAAAAATAAAGGAAAAAAATCTAATGAAAAAAAAAATATTTTTTTATTAAAAAAATTGGTAAATCAATTAAAAAATTGTGTAAAATTTTCCTAAATATAATATATAATTTCTTTTCACATGCTTAAAATATCTTGATACATAAAATAGTAAATAAAAAATTTCTAATAATAATAAAAATATTATAATTATATAAAATCATGTGTAGTTATTAATTTTTTTTGTCACTATCTCTTGAAATAAAAAGGAAAAAGAAACGTCTGACTGAATTAAATAAATTAAATATTTTTTTATGAAAAAAATATTAAATTAAATAAAAAAATATTTATAAATTACTTAAATATATTGTGTATATATTTCTTCTCATACATTAAAATACATTGATTCATAAAAATAGTAAATAGAAATTTTTTAATAATAAAAAAAATATCATTAATTTTTTTCACATCAAAAGAAAAATAAAATATTTCCAATTAAAATAAATTAAAAAAACTTTTTTCTTTTATGAAAAATTCATTTTATATAAATAAAAATAGCAAATAGAAATTTTTTAATAATAACAAAAATATTACTATAATTATATGAAATCATGTGTAGTTATTAAGTTTTTTTCACTAGTTGAGATAAAAAGAAAAAAAAATATAATTGTAATAAATAAGTAATATGATTTTTAATGAAACATTATTATATCAAATAAAAAATTGTAAAAATTACGTAAATATTATATATATTTTTTTCATAAGTTTAAAGTGTTTTGATATAATAAAACACATAATATTAGAAAGAAATAATTATCTTGTACGTATATATTATAACTATATAAAATCAATAAATTATTTTAAAAAATATATATATATTACATAAAAAGGAATAAAATAAAAGAGAATAAAAACTTACAAAAATTTAAATTTGGATTCTTATGTGTCTAAGATTTATCTTGTATATTACTTTACCAATTCAAATTTGTCTTTGTTATTTTTCCACATCAAAGTTTTATTAGTCTTATAGATCAAAATATATAATGTATTTTAACATTTAATTGAATTTTTTTTAAAAAAAATAAAAATAAAAACTCTTACATTTACAAGAAAAGAAATAAATTATATTGCTAGCTACTGATTGATTTCAAAAACTGGTGAAATGTTTCCCCCCATTTCAAATTTATCTCACAAAAATTGATCCAACAATTATTATTATGTTTTTATTTTTTATTTATTTATTTATTTATTTTTCATATAAGCAAAATGCTACAATTGTCCACAATACATTATTAAGTGATATTGCTAATGACAGTGTTTGTTTGGGGATTTGGATTTTGAGTTGAGATTTGAATTGTAACAGTTTTGTATTTAAATAGTTGTATGATGTGATATAAATAGGTGTTGATGCGATGTTTTGATTGTAAAATTGATTTTTAGTATAATATTAAAAATGAAAAATATGTGTTTGATTTGATATTTTTGGGGAAAAAAAATGAAATGAATAGTGAAAATTAAATCCAATCCCCCGAACAACCCACCTAAAAGCAAATACAATAGTTTTCTATCTCAGATTCTCTCACTTTAAAGCGAAACTTTTTTTTTTTTTTTTTTTTTTTTTTTTTTTTTAAATTTTTTTGTTTTAAGTTTGTAAAAATTCGCACAGATTGGCTTCTTAATTGAGGCCAAACTATCGACCCTCCTTGGACATTGCCCGGTGCAGCAGAGGTGTCGTCCAAGCTTATTTTTCTTTCTTTATTGTTCTCTCTCTTTCATGGTGACCATGAATTGAACAAATTTATGTTTCAATTGATTGAAGAAGAGATCACAAGAGCTGAAGAAAATGAGAGACTATTACTTTTACCATTTTTATTCAATGGCTTGAAAGCGATTTTGATTGTTTGGTGCATTTATTTTGATGAATTTGAAAAAATTTAATTTAAATTTATATGAAAATAATGTTTGACAATGAGTTATTTTAATACCAATTTTACCAAACATCCCATCCTTTCTTTCATTTCTTCCCCTTTACCCCCGTCCACTTCTGCGGGCTTGGTTTCCGAATTGCGAATGGCTGAAGAAGAATTGTGTTTGGAAGGAACCGTGAGGGTGATTGAGGCATCCCTATCTCAAATCAAATGGAGGCTCAAGCACTCTTCCAAGTCTCGACTTCAAGTCGGTCAGTCCCAACTTGTACCAGCTGGGAGAAGCCGAATTTGATACTATTTTAGTTTTCTGATGATTTTACATTGGATAGAAATATCTTTGACTGTTGGGGTTTGATTATTATTATTATTTTTTTAATTTATTTTGGTTATCAATTTGAAACCAAATTCAATTGTGTTTCTTTGGCGATTGATAGATTAAAGATTGAAATAATTCAACTGTTTGTGCAGTTTCCTCAGTTCTTGTTTCGCATTTGTTTCCCTTCTGGATTGATCCCTTTTGTTATATCTGTCTGCAGATATTTTGGCTTTGCTCGCAGGGATGAGGCCCTGCATCATGGTGGATTATGGTGGGATGATGCCTGAATTGGGAGATCATCTTTGTGCATTTCTCAATCATTGCAGAAAGGTCATTCTCCTGTGGTTCAGTTTGTTACATTCATCACTTTGTTATCTTATTCCCTTTAGTTTCATTTTTGTACCTTATTGATTATAATTTGTTGACCTTACTGTGGTGGAGTTTATTGATTTTTGCTTGATTGGTAATATATGTTGCATATCTCAAATTTAAATCCATGAAGTAATATAAGCTAAATTGGGTATAAGAATTTTGTTGCTACCTAATTTTCATGTATACCTGGAGTTCCACTAATCTTCAAGCAGATTAGGGAAAGAATATATTCTTTCTTGCATAAAGCTCCCCTTATTTTCGTTTCATTGAGTCAGTGTGATGTAAAAAAACCTAACAAAAGATGGTGAGAATGATTGGAAAGGAAAAAGAGAACACAGCGAGATGATGAAAGAGTGAAGAGGATAAAATTTAGTCCAAAGCAAAATTTTATTGACAAATCCTAAGGAGATCTTCGAAGGACATCACTAAATAAAAAGGTCACTAGCTACATTACATTTTAGGTTGAGGGTGAGATGAGCAGCCTTTTTATGCTACTAGAGCGCATGTTAACTTCTGTCACAGGAGAGAGCTCTGCAACATTAGCTGTTATGCATCGATGTCTTCATGAAGTTTAACAACCCATAGTTGTCAATAGTGTGCAATAGCAGCGTAGCGTAGCGGAAAGGCAGTCTGCTGCTACGGCCGCTCCGCGATTTCGTGTTTACGCAATAGCGGTGTAGCGGCTTGTAGCGGCACTCTGCTACGTTAAGCTATATCGCGATTGTAGCTTATTGAATTATTTATTAACACGTAAATAATTGAAATCTTACTTTAACCTATAAGATGTATATTTTTTATTATAATATAGACAAAAAAAATATTTATTTTAAATTTTAACTAAATTTTTAGATTCATTCCGAGAAAAGAAACAAATTAGATAGTCAAAAGTTGATTTATATCAAGTATAACCAAAATTTGTTAGATCATTTTGATAGCAATGATGTGATTGGTTCTATTGTTTTGAATGATTCTAATGAGTGGTTAATTAAAAAAGTTGATAATTATAGAGGATAAGTTAGTATTTCACAATGATAATTTGACTAGGGGAGTTATTGATGCTAATAGGTCTGCTATCTACACTAAGATACAAACATCAATGAGAAAGAAAGCTATAGGTACTTCTAACTCTAAAAAGGGAAATGATATTATACAAGGTGACAAACATACAATTGAATAAATAGATGAGAATGAAGAAGAGGAGAAAAAATATACAGACAAAAGTAATTAAGCAGTGAGGATGAGAATGAGGAAAGTAATTAAGCAGTGAGGATGAAAATGAGGAAAAATTTTTTTTATCAGATTTTAAATCTGATTAGCTTTGATATATCTATTACACAATAGTAATCTAATTGTTTTTGCTTATATAACTATCTAATAGTTATGATTATATATATATATTAATCTTTTATTGGTTTGGGTGATAATTATGAAATTAATTTATAGGTTTTTCTTATGTATTTTTGTTATAAGTTTGTATATATAATAATTTTATATATATATATCCTTAAATATTTAAATAGCGGTCATACCGCTATCCGCTATCCCGCTATAGCATTTTAGATATTGACCGCTACACACTGCTATCCGTGATTGACAACTATGTATCAACTATATTTTACTTTAGTGCATGAACCCAGTGACTTTTTCCATTCTTTCTTCAGAAAATCTTTCAGCATCATCTGAATGGTGTTACAAATTTATTTAGACCCACCTGTAAAGAGCACACTTTACTGATAGCTACCTAAGGTACATCCAGATGCAGTTCCTCTTTTTCCACTAAAAAGGAAAAAGAATATTCAGGATGACTACTCTTCAACCTTTAAGATGTGTGCTTTTGCCTTTACGGTAGGTCCTATAATCATTCTTTCAGCATCTTCAAGCATCAGCCAAAGATATAGTTTTGAGCTATACAAAGTACTGAATGGTATGAGTGCATTAACAAAATGAATGCTGTATTTTTGTTATTTTATCTAATGGTCATTGGTAAATTCATTTCTAATTTATCGCATGTTGTTGTAATGCTTACTGTTGTAAACTTTCATTATTCACTTTGTATCGATCTAAATGAATGACGTACATTGAAGATGTCAAGATTGCTGGAAGACCCGTTTATCTTGTCAAACTGTTCTTTTTGCCTACACATTGTATGTCAACCTATAGAAGGTCAATATTCATTGCTAGGATGAACAGTTGTTTTGTGGTGTGAAACAGAATATACGCAGATGATCAAAACAAATGTATTAGCGTTTTTAGTCAACTATTACTTGCGACGCCTTCATTTTCTTCATCTTTTTATCATGGCTTCTTGCAAAAGTATTAGTTTGAGAACTCTGATTTTGTCATTTATATATTTTTTTATGACTGATACACTATATGCAATTTAAACAACTATCAGGAATCTTCAGCCTTTGAGCTTCTGCGTGTTATGGTGATAGATGATATGGTCTACTTGATTCATGTCAAAGCATTTGCAGATTTTGTCAAATCAAGCTTGTGTTTGGAGACTCCGCCGCTCTTTGTGAACCTTGAGCATGATCCTCCAAAGGTTTAGAAAAGAACAAACTTATGACTTCCTTCTTTATTCCCCTTCTCTGATAATATCTCAATTTTGTGATTCCAGATGGTAACAAGTTCAGAAGAAAGTCCTCCATTAATGCAGCTTCTTTTGGCTCAGAAAATGTTTTCCTCAGTTTTCCTTGCAGATAAGATCGGTGGTCACTTGCAAAGACATGGTGCTTACAAGGCCATTTCCCCTACCGATGGACAAGCTGATTCTGTGTTAGTTGATCTCAGTTGCCACCTTAAAGAATGCCAGGTCACAATCCCAACCCTTAACGGGTAACCTTTTCGTCTTACATGGAATAAGATTATAGTCTAATTTAAGTTAATACACTGCCTGATCTAATTTACCAGTGATTGCATACATCTTACAGCTCTTTATAGCTTTTTGGAAGATAAGAAGTTATATTATAGCGAATCTAGCTTGGAATTATAGAGGATATAAAATCAAGTTCAAAAACCAACAACAGATCTGCCTTTAATGCTCTAATTGTGCATGCCTGAAGCACTGAGACTGATTAGAAAGTCTTGAAATGAGCTACTTTGGAGAGACAAACAATACAATCCTTCACATTTGCAGCCTCTAGCAAGATATAAAGTCCTTATCTTTTACCCCTCTAGGGCATCTTGTGAGTTTTGGCCTAGCTTTCGAGCTTTTTATTAAATGAAGGTCCCTAACATATTCCGGGACAATATGTTGGATTTGAGACAGGCTCCACAAGGCAAGTCTTTGAAGTTGTGGAAAGTGCACAATGGTGTCATTTTTAACAACGAGGATTTCTCAGTTGAATGGCTTACTTTTGGTTTTCGACTTACGGTAGGGGATTGGTATCTTTGCCTTCTTGGTCAATAATCTACGGATAAATTCTCAGTCTTTCAGCTACACGTAGGGTTATATCTTTGGCTATGTGGGTGGCTCTGGATATTGGTTAGTGGAAGATAAAGGTGCATAGAGCGACATTTGGGAAGCTGGCATTAGGGGGGTAATTAAAGATCATCAAAGCCTTGTTAAACCTATCGAACGCACTAACAATTTAGGAAGTGAATCCACATAGGCAATATGAAATTGGGTGTAGAAAAATATAAGACTGGTTTCATTTCCAAGTGGCATAGAGGTAAATGAATGTCTATAACCCAACAATCCATAGATTGAATAAACTCTCTAATGAGTAAATCTCCTCTGTCAGCTTCCAAATGAACGAGTTAAATTCTTTTCCTAGATGAAGTGGCCTAGATTCCAGATTTGTCCATAGAAGTTGATCAAGGTCAAGCAAAGTATGGGTTTTATTGATCCTTGTCAATCTTTTGAACTATTTAACAGATGATAATGATAACTCAAAAAACTTTTTAATTAAGTTTATTTGATCAAATCTGATGAGAGATTAGTATACAATAGAACATGTTCAAATTACAATATGCAATTTCATAAAATTTATCAGTACTTTGTGGCAGCTGGGTCCATTCGAGAAATCAAAGAGGCTCTATACATAACGAGATGCATGTACATGATGCCAAAGTCAACATTTGTTGTGTTCTATGTTGAACACTACCAATTATGTCTTTTTCATGAACATTGTAATGTTATCACAGATGGTTGCTGGGCTACCCTGTCATTTATTTGTTCGGAAAGGACTGCATTCATCGTGCTGTGTATAATCTCTCAACGAAGTCTCTTCACATCTATCAGATTTTTGTTGACAGGTACTTTTGCATATCGTGTTGGGTTTTTTTTTTTCATTAATTCACCTTGACCAATTTGCTCTTTTTCACCTCCATTTTCATCTCGCTTCATGCTATTCATTATTTTACCAAATGGAATCACATATAGCTAATTAGTGTTGTTGTAAAGACCATAATTTGTGTACAGAGAAGTATATTTTTTTCTCGACTTTGTCACATCTAAAGTCTTGAAATTCCTTTATTATCAAAACATGTATGTCTTTAGTTTTAAATACTACAAATGTAGCCTGTTCATCTGATGGACAATCTCCAAGTTTGAGAGGTGTAATGAATAATGATGATCTTGTTTGATATCCACATGGCATAGGAGCAACGGAAAAGGATCTCAGAAGGAAGAACTAATGAGGTAAGACTCATAATTGTCTGTATTCAATATGCAGTGCTCTCTGTGACCATTTTAAGAGAATATGAACCTCGTCATCAAATGAATTGCCTTAAGTTAGAAAAAGAAGAGCTTGCACTACATGGCACTTCAAAACATAGGAATTTCAATGATAAAGATTAAAGAAAATATCTTGTTAGGTTTGACTGCCCACTATGACTGCCTGTTAGGTTTGAAATGAAGATTAAGAACCCAAAAATTATTTATTTATTTATTTTCAATTCGGTTTCCTAAATCAAAATAGAAGAGCTTGCAATCTATTTCAGTGTATTTTCTTAGCTCAAATAATCTCCTTCCAACTTTGGTGTTATAATTGTTCCTTTCATCTGCAGAATATAGCATTAGATGTTTGCATTAACGATGCTTTTCTGGGGCTTGTGTTTTTGAACTTTTAGGGTGTGTTTGTTTGAGAGTTTGTATTTTGGGTTTGGGATTTGTACAGTACAAAGTTTAAACTTGAATAGTTATATGAAAATGAAAATTGCATGCTTGATTTGATGTTTGTGGGAGGGAAATTTGAGTGAATAGTAAAAATTTTGTGAAGTTTGAGAAAAGAAAAATATCTTGAATAATTGTTTGGGGGTTTGGATTTTGGATTGGGATTTGAATAGTAAAAATTTTGAATTTGAATAATTGTATGATGCGATATAAATAGGTGTTGATGTGATGTTTTGAATGTAAAATTGATTTTTAGTATAATATAAAAAATGAAAAATAGGTGTTTGATTTGATGTTTTTGGAGGAAAAATTTTGGATGAATAGTAGGATTTTGTCAAAATCCTACAAACGAACACACCCATACTGTTTGAACCTTTGTATGCAATTGAATGTTCTTAAACATTTCATGAGATTGTTGGTGAATTATCATCACAAAGCACTTTTAAGATTGATAAATATTATTGAGTTATGAGCAATAAGCAAAATAACTGATTTTCTTGGAACTTAAACATTTTTTTCTTTCTTAAATGTGTGGATAATTTCATCTGACAGATCAGAAAAGCCAGATTGTTGCCAAGGATATGTGCCTAGACCATAAAGATACCATTTGCCATTGAAGTTAAATTGATTTACTGTTTGCTTATAAAAATTCCATCATTTTTGCAGTTTTACTGTGCCTTATGAGTTGAGCTTGGAAGGAGGCAATGAAACGTGGGCGAGATCATTCTACGCTCTCATGCAGGCTCGGTTGGAGAAGTGCCGACATATCTGGCGATCTGTACACATGGAGGTCATTAGTTCTTATCCACAAGCAATTGCTTTATAACAAGTTTTCAAGTGTCACACTTTTCAGGTAAAAACAAATGTCTTTGATGAATAGTATTCCTTCCGTCCCAAAACATTCTACAATATTTTTTTCTTACGTGCTTCGAACTTACCGCAATATTTTTAAATTTAGAAATAATTAATTACATATATATATAAATATATATTTTACTTTATTTAGAGTCGGCAATAGATCGATTCGTGTCGGGTTGACTATTTTAAATGGGTTAAATTACTCAACCCTAATCCGATCCGTTTATTATCGTGTCGGGTTCGTGTTAATCCGTTTATTATCGTGTCGGGTTCGGGTTGACTTGTGTTGACCCGTATACATAATTAAGTCTAATTTCTTGATTTAAATTAAATAATTTTTTGTTTTGTTGTCGTATTATATTAGTTTTTATTGATTTGAGCTTAAAGTAGGTTCAATTATTTAAAATTGAACTTAGTTTAAATTAATTTATGAAAAAATTATTAAATTATGATTATTTTATATATATAATAAATATATTAATCAATATTAATATGTTATAATCGGGTTGTCATGTTCGAGTTGAGAGTCTCAACCCTAACCCGACCCGTTTATTATCATGTCGTGTTTGTGTGAATCCGTATACATAATCGGATTGAAATCTTTGACCCAAATTCAATTATTTCGTGTAGGGTCGTGTCGGGTCAATTTTTATCAGCTCTAACTTTATCATATCACATCACTCAGATAAACGTAAATAAATATATATTTTTATTTTTAATTATATCACCTAATTTTTAAATTATCTCAAATTATCCTATTTAATACTAGCTACTTAAATTCTAGTGTCAAAGTCAAATGTTGTGAGGTGTTTGAGACGGAGGGAATAGTTTTTTTTTTTTTAAATACAGTTTCGAATTTTTTGCTTGAGAAGTTCATAGAATCCACTCGAGTTTCGGCCGGTTCGTTCTGAGAAGTGTATGAAAAATATATCGGGCGACAAAAATAATTTAATTATTGTGCTTGTTTTATTGTTAATGCAATATTTTAATTGATTTCTAATTAATTTATATTTCATGCATATACTTTTTTTTTTTATTAAATATAATTATTTGATGATAAAATATACAATTGATGAAAACAAATTTATTATAATTATTATATAAAATGTAATTGCTTTTTATACAAATATTTAAAATTAATATATATTGTATTAGTTATTTTATAAAATCAAAATAAAACGTTATAATTTCATATAATCCTTCCCGGATAATATGATTAAAGGGACAAATTATATAAAATGAACCCAAATAAAAAAAAAAAAGTGCACGTATTTTATATGTGACAAAAGAAGTAATATTTAATGTTTTTAATATAGATATAAATATAATTTTTATATATTACTAATATTATAAGGGTGCGATAACATCTTCGTACTAATTTATTCGAATTTAACAAAATATCCAAATTACCCTTTCTTTTCATTTCTTCTTCGAAAAATATTTGTTCAAGTACTTTTGCAATAATTTATTTTAATAGATATTATAGTTAAAAAATATTATAAATATCAATAATTTTTTTGTTTAATATTTATTTGAAGTTTATCTTAAATTTGTAATATTTTTAATCAATGAAATATAAAAATGTAAGAATAAAATATAATATATTCTAAAAACTAATTTATATATATAATAAATAATAAAAAAAATTAAGTTATATATTATATATCGTTATGATAATATTATAATTATAATTTAATGTATTATTGTTTTAATTAAGCCATTGTATGATTTTTACATTTTAATATTTGTGTCAAACTTGTGTTCAGGCTAATTATCTGACACTTCCCAATTTCATTTCAAAGTTGCACAATATGAAATATAATTTTTTTTCCAAATCTTCTTCCTGTTCTAAAATTGCAAATGAAATTATACTTACACAATATATGTTTTCTATTTTAAATGAAAAATAAATATTAAATGTAAACAATAATTAATACAACAAATAAAAGGAGTCTTGATTATACTGAATTAAGGCAATTAAGGGAGGGAGGGTGGGTGGGTTCCCTACCTTACGTATACCCTCCCGCCTTAGAAAGCCTTTTAACGGTCCAAAAGTATTTTTCCTTTCTTCCCCGAAAATTCTCACCCGCATTTTCATGGAACTCATTGTTATTATTTCGATTATCTTCTCCAATTACTGTTAGCATTACTTTCAATGCCATGAAATGAGATGCCAATCCATTTGATGAATCCAAATACACATTCAGGAGTTGGGAGGAGGAGACCTTGATAATACATAAATTAAGCTTCCTTTTCTCATGGCCTTACCTTCTCTGTCTTCTCCATCGCCTCTGTCTCCCGCGCGCTTACTATTTACGCCCCTATTCATATCCTTCTTGTTTCTTCATTCATCTGTCGCCGCCGACGATGGCGCATCTACTGCAGGCCAAAGCGGCGCCTGTAGAAACGGTTCCGAATTGGTAAGCTGTTTTATATTGGCAGTAATTGATAATTACAAGTCATCGTCTAGAGAGGGAGGTCGTGTGTGTATATATATATATATATATTTGATTGATTGATTGCTTATTCGGTGATTTTAATCGCAGGCGAAGGTCAAATTGTGGGTAAATGGCGCGGAAGAGACGGCATTAGGCGCATTGCTTGCCAGTTTTGGGCCGGCATTGCCGGAGGAGGAAACCCTAGCTTCAAGACTGCCGGCCGTGATATCCAATTCCGTAACCGGTTGTTTACCCTTGTCTTTAAAGGTCAGTTTTCTTTTTCTTATTTTTTTCTTTTAACTGTACAATCATGTATATTAGAATTGATTTATGCTGAGTAGTGGCTTAATTAAAGAAACAAGACAATCTGAACACAGTAGTATGATTAACAAACCAACAAGACACTTGATTCCAAGTTAATGTTACGAAGAAAAGAATATATTATGAGTGTGTTTATCTGGGATTTTTATTTTTTATTTTTTAATCGTATTTGACCATCATTGTTCCAGAAACAATGATATGATATGCACTCTAAAATGGTCGCACAGAGTATGAGATAACATTTTTAGTCATATAAATTTGAAATCTAAATAGTTTTGTTGATAAAATTTAATAATACTTTTGATCCCATGGCTCTGTCGGCCTGGCCAAGATGCTGATGCATATGGCAATTCATCATATGTTGGATGCGATGTATTGAATAAAAAATGATGTTTGATATGATTTTTCGAAAAGAATTTGGGAGATTGAATGGTAAAAAGCTGGGGAATTAAATCAAAAGTAAACAAGCTTTGTTGATGTTTTCGAAGTCAAAGTAGCTGGTGGATATGATGGTTTGAGCAGAAGAAAATTGATATTGGGTATGATGTTTTTAAAGGAAAATGATAGATTAAATAGTGAGAAATTGAATTGAAACTTCAAGTAAATATTTGATCAACAATAATTGATCCCATATCCAACTAACATTCTTTTATGTAGCCAACAAATTATCAATATTTCATTTTTCAATGCCAATAATATCTCACAATTAGAAAGATTAGATTGATAGAACTGAAAACAGTTTAGTTGTCCTAAATATTTTTAGCACCTTGAGAATATATTCTGAATTTTCTATATCAAAAAATTATGCCGAGAAATGGGTTTTTTCGATTCCTTCTTGTGCTTTCTTTGTGTTCTCTCCTTTTTTTTTTTTTTTAAAAATTTCCTCAATTCTGCACATCATCTACTACTTTTCATGCTGCAATTTATGTATATACTTAAGAGTAGTGTTAAGGAATTAATCCTACATTGTTGTGCAATATGAAGAGAACGAATGTTGTGTGGTGTTGTAGCTTGTAGGTTCTATTGCAGTGGTTGTGCGTGGTGAATGTGACTTTCTAACGAAGGCTAAAGTTGCTCAAGTGGCAGGATCAGCTGGACTCGTAGTTATCAATAATGAGGAAGGTACCTACCTTAATTAATTTCTATTTTCATATATATATAGGAAAAATTAAACATTTAGTACTCTATCCATGACCAAATTTCACTAGTCTCATATTTTTTCTCTCGTTGTATCTTGTTTCTATACCTTAACAAAAATATCTTTTCTAGTCATATGGCCTCTGAAAATTCATGTAAAAAAATTCACCTTGTGTGTGTGTGTAGATGTGTCATTGGAATGACAGAAAGAGCAAGTTTATGCAAGGTATAGGACAAAACTCGGCTAAGGAAATATACTGAACAAGAGTGATAATAGACCATAAGTGCAGGACCAAATTTGCAATTTTCCCTATATGTATCTTCTACGCTGATTTCAGATATGGACTTGCACCATTGTTTGTCATGATGATTCATTTTCTTGGACTAATAATAATTCAGGTCTTGTGGAGATTGGCTGCGGAAGTGGCGACGATTTTGACGTCATAATACCAGTGGTTACAATATCGAAATCAGATGGCGATGAACTGATTAATGCCATTGATGGTGGTAAGAAAGGTAAGCCATGGTTTAGAAAAATCTTGTAAATCATAGGTTGATGGAACATGCATTGCATATAGTTTATGATCTCTGAGTGCAGAAGCATGATTTTGCTGTTGATTATATTGTGTTTAGATGCTATCTTGCCTTTGTTTCAGTGGAGCTTCTGTTGTATTCACCACCTCGCCCTGTCGTAGATTACTCTGTGGTCTTCTTGTGGCTGATGTCTGTTAGTACGGTGCTTTCTGCTTCGCTTTGGTCCGAATTTACCAAATCCGAGCAGCGCATCAACTATAATGACGACTACTCAGATAAGGTGTGACGAGTAAGAACAGGAGAAATTTCAGCTTTTGTCCATACACGCAAATAATCTGGTCTCGAAAGTTTCAGTTTCATCTGATTTTGATCCTCTTTGTTTAAGTGATTGAACCCAAGTTTCAAACAACATATGATTCACATATAGAATTAGGAGCAAATTGTGAACAATTAAAATTTACAAAATTAAATTACGACGGCAAAACAGGACAAAAGTTATAATTAAGAATATATACAAGACAATACGTGGGATTTCTTCTATGTTAGTATTATGTTTGTATCTTTTACTTTGAATATAAGCACTTCGGTAGTTCGGTTCATATGCTTTCATGTTCATTTGTTACATCCATCAGTTAATGATCTTTTAATTTTTTCATCAGCGTCGAGGAAGATTGATGAAGTATGAATATGATTTTTAAGCACACCTTATAATTTTTTTCCCAAACTCTTCCTTGTCTAGTAGAGAATTAAGACTTTATGTATTGTGTGTGCAATCAGGCTCAAATATATTTCATATACATGTTATCATTTTTATAATTTTCAGCTGATTTACCAACTTGATTCAAGATGTTTGTGTGTATAATTTACTACAACATAATCATCGCCATCGCCTGTGTTGTTGTTGTATATGTTTTTAATGTTCTTACCTCTGTATACTTCATTTTGTGATCACTAATTTACAATTTATGCCTTTAAATTAAGCTTCATATTTAATCATACGAAGGAGCACATTTTCTTGTTCCCATGGCAGGATTCTAATCCACCGAAGGAGGAAGAGGAAGAAGTCCTGTATATCAGCACAAAAACAGCTGTACTTTTTGTGATATCAGCGTCCACTTTTCTACTGCTGCTCTACTTCTTTATGTCATCATCGTTCGTCTGGATTCTAATTGTACTCTTCTGCCTTGGAGGTGTTCAGGTAATAATTTACTTATATCCAATATTTTCATGTCATATAAGATGTTTGATCATCTGCCCTATATACACATATATATATATGCTGAACTTATTACTGCATATGTTTTTGTTATTTGGTTACCAGGGAATGCACAATTGCATCGTTTCGATTGTTTCAAGGTACACTTAAAAACGTTTCTTTCAGAAACCTTGGTAGCTGTAAACCTTGTACTAACCTCTTGGTCTTGTCTTGTCTTGAGCAGTAAATGCAGCTGCGGCTGGGGACAAAAGTCGGTGAATCTTCCGGTTGTAGGAGAGTCGTCGATTCTCTCTATAGCTGTCTTTATGTTCTGTCTGCTATTTGCCATTATTTGGGCTGCAACTCGCAAGGCATCCTTCTCTTGGATAGGCCAAGACATTCTTGTAAGCTATTACGTAAAATCGATAGTTCAAAGTCGCAGCATGCATTTCTGAACTATATATAACCAAATATCGACGATTTTAATGGCAGGGTATTTGCATGATGATATCGGTGTTGCAGTTGGCTCGGCTGCCAAACATAAAGGCATGCGTTGACACCATGTCTGTGTTCTTGGTTGTGTTTGTGAAAATATGCTTACGTTTACGTTTATATAACTTGTGATCGGATTAGGTTGCAACAGTACTCCTGTGTTGCGCGTTCTTGTACGACATCTTTTGGGTTTTCCTATCGCCTTTGATATTCCAAGACAGCGTCATGATTTCAGTGAGTAGTAATCTTAATTGCATCTACATTGTTCGATCGAAGTCCTGTCCTAATTATGGAAATGGTGCGATCATAGGTGGCTCGAGGGGATAAAAGCGGTGGCGAATCGATCCCCATGTTGTTGAGGGTTCCCCGGCTTGCTGATCCTTACGGTGGCTCGAACATGATAGGATTCGGGGACATTCTATTCCCGGGCTTGCTCGTTTCGTTTTCTCGGAGGTAATTAAGCTCTCTCTAGTTCATTCTTGGCTCGACTTTATAAAAAGAACATATATAATAAAGATAGACAACATATATCATATAAAACATGACATATTTATAACACATTGTATAGTAATGCATAATATATGCTGTCGTCTATCTTTATTATATATGTTGCATGTTATGTTTTGTGTGGATTCTTTGTTATGTTTTGTGTGGATTCTTTGTTTAATAAATAAATAAGGGTAAACTATTTTTTAGGCTCGTAACTAGAGCCCTTATCATTTTAGTCCCGTAAGTGGAGCTGTTGCAAACTGGTAACATAAGTAAAATTTTTCGCTGTTTTAGTCCTCCGGTGCTAGAGATGCTCGCGTGGCTCACCGGAGGCTACGTGTCCGCCAGGTGTCGCTGATGTGGCGGGACACCCAGTGAACACGTAGCTTCCGGTGAGCTACGCGGGCATCTCCGGAGCTAGAGGACTAAAACAACGAAAAATTTTTACTTATGGAACTAGTTTGCGACATGCACCACTTACGAGACTAAAATGATAAAATGGTCCAGTTACGAAACTAAAAAGACGGGTTATTCAATAAATAAATGTGTTGGAAATATGAATGTATTTTGTGTTTGGGGATGTTTAGATTTGACAAAGCAAATGGTAAGAGAGCTGCGAAGGGGTATTTTCCTTGGTTGATGATTGGCTATGGAACAGGTTAGATCAACCAACGTTCTTGTTCATTATTGAAAATTTTGAAAATTAAAAAATGGAATATATATATATATATATGTATGTATGTATTGCAGGGCTATTCTTGACGTACTTGGGCCTGTATTTGATGAATGGACATGGCCAGCCTGCTCTTCTCTACCTCGTACCATGCACATTAGGTCTGCTTTTGATTTTATATCTTTATTATTATTATGCATAATTGCTTATAATATACTTTTTAGTTTAAAAAAATCAGCATTATATTTGCTGTAATTTAAAAACTATATAAGATTTTCTTATGTTTTAGAAAATATTGTATAGGATTCTTTAAAAATTGCACAAAATTCCATTTTATTTTGTAAAAATATTGCGTAGGATTCTCTTAAAAAAAATAAATTTTGTGCAATATTTTGAAAATACAATAAAGTTTTGTACAAAATTTAAAGGCAAAACTGCTTAGAATTTATCTGTAGTTTGAAAAGTCGAAATGATATTCTCTGTAATTTAAAAATTGTAAACATTGCATAGAATTTTTTAAAAATTGCATGATATTTTTTTATATTTTTGCATAAAATCCCCTGAAAATGGGATCCTGTGCAATGTTAATAATATAATACAAATTGTAAATAATAATAATAATAATAAATTTTTTTAATTTTTATTAATTACTTATTAATTATATTTTTCTAAATTCTCGTGTATATTATCGTTGTTGTTGGTGTTATTATTATGATTATTATTATTATTATTGGAATTCAATAAATGTAAAAACAAAAAATATTAATTGCAGGGCTGTGTGTGGTGTTGGGTTTGAAAAGAAAAGAACTGAAGCTACTTTGGAATAACAAATCTGACTTGGACGAAGCAATGCCTCCCCCTTTCTGACTCAATTAATTAAATTATAATTTTTAATTAATTTACTACTTAATTTCGTTTTCTGAAAATATGTAGTATTAGTTATTGTAAAGTTAGTTAGCGCATGTAAATACGTAATCATTGCTTCACATTCTTTTTAATTAAATCCCCATGTCACTAATACACACTATTATTCATTTTCTATCCATGTACTAATTAAGCCATGTTTCTTTTTATTTAGTTTTGAAAAATTTTGGTTTGGATTTAGTATTAAAATAATGTATGAGGAGATGTTTTATAAGAGAAAAAAAATATTTTTATTTTTTATCGAAAAATACGTGTTAGAAATTTTGGGGAGAAAATAATGAAATTGTCTTATTTATCATCAAAATAAGGAGCATAGGCAATACAAAACAGACTCGATAGACTAAATCTAAGTAATCTAATCTATGAATAAGATCTAGATATAAATCTATTAAATCTAAAACTGAATATCTAAAATATCTCAACATTCCCTCGAACTCAAGTGGTATAACAGAAACCAACTTAAGTTTGATGAGAAATTTGAATATAAACGCAAAAAGAAAACATAAATAAAATTAGCAGTTGACTCTCCACCCATCGGAGCAAAAAACGAGAGGACTCTACACCGGAGTCGAAAACGTGATACTCTCCACCGGAGCAAAAAACGAGATGACTCCACCGGAGCCGAAAAACGAGATGACGCTCCACCGGAGCCGAAAAACGAGATGATGCTCCACCGGAGCCGAAAACAAGATGACTCTCCACCGGAGTCGAAAACCATATGACCACCGGAGCCGAAAACAGACAAATCGCAAACATCGGACAGATCAGATCTCACGCAAGCAACAGACAAACAACGGATAGATGGCAGATCATAGACAGATTTCCGGCAACAAATAAGCAACGAAAGATGGCAGATCGCACGCTGGCAATTGACAGACAACGACAAATGGCAGATCGCACGCAGCAACAGACAACAACGGACATATGGCAAATCGTTTCAGATCACTCGCAGGTAACAGACAAACAGCGAAGATTTCAGATTGCACACAAGCAACAGACAAGCAGCAGACGTATGACAGATCGGAGACGAGACGAGACAGATTTGCAAAAAGACAACTTGCAAAGACATTAACTCAAAACCACAAGACCTCCGGATACAATCTAGGTTGAATGTACCGGAGAAACACGGGTTGATAGACTATATCTACGGCACGAGGAAAATAGGCTCTGATACCATGTTAGAAATTTTGGGGGGAAAATAATGAAATTGTTTTATTTATCATCAAAATAAAGAGCCTATATATAGGCAATACAAAACAAGATCAATAGACTAAAATCTAAGTAATCTAATCTATGAATAAAATTAAATATAGATATAAATTTACTAAATCTAAAATTGAATATCTAAAATATCTCAATAATACGGAATGTATTTTCTATTTTAACTTAGAGACTATGTGGGCCAAGGGAAGATTAATTTATTTGAATTTAATTATAACAAAATTTTAAAAGTAATTTGGAATTAATTCTGTCATTTTAAAAGTACTAAAAAAATTAAAAATAAAAAATAAAAATGAATGTTTATGTGAGAGATAATTATTTATGAAACTCACCAGGCTGAATATTAGGTGCTGAAATTAAATTTACATATTGTTGAATGTTTGAAAATTAATGCTACATATGTGTGTTAATTACATTCCCTTGTCCCAAATATTTGTGGAAGCATTAATATAAATAAGAATTTAAATAAAGTATAATTAAATAAGTAATTAAAAAATATATTAGTAAAATTAGTTATTATATATTAAAAATAACTTTAAATTATGACTATAATATCTAAATAGTTTAATTAAGATTAATAAAATTATAAATTATAAAATTGAAAATGTAATTAAAATTTATAATTATATTTCCAAAATTAATGACTAATTATATGAGATGAATAAAAAATAGAAATAAATTATGTGAAAGGAAAGAGTATTCCCTCAGTCACACTTCTCATGTTCACATTTCTATTTCCTCGTACACTTTAATTTTATTTTAAAAAATTTAATTTATAATTTCTTTTTAAATTTTATTTATACTAATCAATTATTTTAATTTTAATTTATAATTATTTTTATTATAAAATAATTATTTTCACTGATATATTTTTAATTATTTACTGATTATGCCCCTCTTATATTTTCATATCTACAAAAAATAGACAAAATATTCGAGACGAAGAGAATATTATTTAATTGTATAAGTTAAGAATAATTAATTTTTAGTAACACTGATGGGTCAAATCAAGCCACCTATATAATAAAAAATAACACATACTATATACAATATTATATATTTATTAATAACATATACTATATACAATATTATATACTCCTTCCGTCCCATAATAAGATTGCCGTTTACTTTTTGCACGTAGATTTTTTAATATTAGTATTATAGTGGATTGTGGTGAAAAAAACGAAAATACCCCTATTAGTATTGTCTAATATAAAAGTAATCGCATTTGTGTAATATAGTGTAAATTGAAAAGATATTTATTATGTTAGGTATGTAGTACAATTATTAAATTAGGAAATTGTAACCTTATTTTGAGACGGACGAAAATAGAAAATGACAACCTTTCAATGAGACGGGGACGGAGGGAGTATTTATTTGTTAGTATTATAACATAGGGCGCTATGTATGTAGAGGCATATATCGTTTACTATTAATACGATGACTTGATCAAATCTCTTTTATTTATATATAAATATTCAATTTTTCATTGAATATATAAAATTCTTAATGTAGTGATTTTTATTTGAAAAAATAGTTTAAATTTGTATAACAAGAATTTAGTATGTATTATATAAAATCAAATAATTTGTTTTTATTAAGAATTGTGAAAAAAAATTTATAGTGCCCTATATTAATGTAGTTTGTTTGTGGATTTTGGAGTTAATTTGAGGTTTGGAATAATAAATTTTTATGTTGAAATAGTTATGATACAATATTATAAATAAATATTGACGTTATATTTTTAATGTAAAATTAAACTTTAATATGATATAAAAAATAAATATTTTAATATAATATATTTTTTAAAAAAATTAATTAATAGTAAAATTATGTTAAAAACTCACAAACAGAGTTTGTGTAACTTGTTTTCATATTTATCTTCTTGATATAGACTTTACCATCAACTGATCCACATTAGCACGGTGCTAATTTGATCGAGTCAGTATATGTCACATGGGTGACCAGCATATGTTTATACATACATATATTGTGTCATAAAATAGTATATACTGAGTTATAATATAATATATTATATATATATTGTATTACAAATATGCTAAAATATATAAATATATACCGGTCACTCTTATAATATATATTAATCCAGTCAAATCAGCACCATACTGACTCTTGATCGGATCTTTGACCGAATCAACAACTGATCCATGGCCATCAAAATTTGACATGATTAAAGCTCAATTGTTCATGCCACATACGAGACCATTAGGAACAAATTTGCAAATTGAGTCTATTCTAAAAATGAGTCAAAACTAACAACTGCGTCTTTATAAAAAAAATTTATACTCCCTCTGTCTTTAAGGGTCGGATTTACCTTTTGTGTCATTGTATTAACATTAAAAAAATATCCTTATATATGTATAAATTTTTGTACAAATATCTTTCTATTAGTATTATAAGACACTAATAGAAGTATTTTTATAATTTTTTCTTAATTTGCACTACATTTTGATATAATAATTAATATTTAAAGATCAGCACGCAAAAAGTAAATAAAACCCTTAGGGCCGAACAAAAATAGTATCTTTTATTCAAAATATCACATCTAAAAACTATTCACTTGAAAATAAAAATAAAAATTCTCATTTATTTATCGAAGCATAAGGCAACAAGACAACACTAAATCAAATTAAGTTAAAGCGGATTTGGTAGAGGGATAGATTTGTATCGAATCACTGCTGGGAAGGTAAAGGAGTGTCGGAGTTGATCCATGTGTGCGACATGAACGCGTGCCTTTCGCCCTTCACGGCATTAGCACAAGCGTATGATTCGAGCTCTTCCTTCTCCCTTTGGGTCAATTCCACCAACAACGATTCTATGTTCTGGCAAAGATGCTCGATCTTGGTGGTGCCCGGGATGGGACACACATCCCGTCCTTGCATGAGAACCCATGCCAATGCGAGTTGCGCTGCCGTGCATCCCTTCCCCCTCGCCATTTCGCGGATTCTTTCGTAGATTTTCTTGTTGTGCTCGAGATTTTCTTCCTTGAATCTTGGAAACCTCTAAAGGTATCAAAGGAAAAAAAATCCTAATTTTAGCTAAAGACTTGGATTATACAATTTCATGCATGTAGGGAGGGTTTTGGTAATGATCAATGTATAAGTTCGGTTGAGAAGATTGCAGAAATATCTTACATGTATATCACATTATTATTTTTTTCTCGTATTTATCTCGTTGACAAGATATATCCTACATATTTGCAAAATTTCTTATTTCTATCATTTGGCCTTGCGTGACTGCGAGTGGTGTGAACGTCACGCACGGCCAAAGGACAAAAATAACGACTTCTGCAAAAATGATAATGGGGTATACATATGGGATGTTTTTTGCAATTCTTCCAAGTTCGGTTCATTTTGAATTTTATTTTAAGTTTATTTACTATGTGAAGTGTGATTCTTGTAAGAATGTATTCCTTCCGTCCCGATAAATTATCTATGTTAATATATATAAAAGAATTTAGGTAAAATATAATTAAGAAGTAATTAAGAAATGTACTAGTAAAAATAAATATAGATTAAGATTAAGATAACTAAAAATAATTATATTTTTAAAAAACGACATATTATATGTGACAGACGAAAATAAAAAATATAGACAATTTATATAAAAGTGAAGGAGTATATATTTATAAAATTATTACATTCAATCAATGGGAATCAATATTGTGTTGATTTTCCAATCAGCACACGTAAAACAATCATGCATATAACACGGCATTCAACACATACCTTGTAAGATAAAATTATATATTTTTTATTTAAATTTGTTGGCGTGTTGTACGTAAATATATTATGTGTTAGAATCAATGATACTGTGCGCAGTGCGAAACTATATCATATATTGTTAGTTCATGTGATATATTTGTACTATATTATTATAAATAATATATTATTTGTGGTAATATTTTGCAATATCTATTAATGCATGAGGTACTAAAACTTAAAATTCAACACAGTCACAACATTCAATCACACTATTTAAATATATATACACAAATCAGATGTATTCTTAGTATTTTTAAAACTTAAAATTAGGTCATATACATATAATATATATATATATATTGTATAATGATAGTTATTTCATGAACTGATAAATATTTAGAATATAAATTAATTTATTCGACAATATAATTGGTGTTAAAAATTAACCTATTGTGAGCCTATATAACATTGTGTCGATTATATAAACCAATACATGAAGCTTTATTATTGAATAACCACATAAAATATAATCGATGTCTCGTATATCTATGATTATTATCTCATATATAAGTATTTACAAATTGGTTATGCTTTTCATCAGACAAATCAGCATCATGTTGATTTTTCCGGTTAACATACACTATGTAAAATAATTAAACAATACATTTTTTTTATTTAATTCAATTTTTTACGGTAAAATCAATTATAGTATATGTTGTGTTAGAATATATTATATGTTGTCAGTTCATATATTATTGTCTTTATATTATGCTAACATAATTAATTATTTATGTGTTGTTTGTTCTATAATGTGCTATGTCTAACATTATTTCATGTATTGTATAAGACTATGTCAGTTATTTTATGCTAACAATAATTTATAATCATGTGTTGTCTGTTTTTATATGATGCGTGTATGTTCCTATATCGTGTCTTATCGGTTCATGTACTATATATGTATATATTAGGTTAATATAATTTATATATTATATGATGCGTGTATGTTCCTATATCGTGTCTTATCGGTTCATGTACTATATATGTATATATTAGGTTAATATAATTTATATATTATTTCTTTCTATCGTACAAGGCTGAATTTTGTATCTCGTACTATTTTGATGCATTACCTTTCGAAAATCGGTGTGGGATAAATCGCGAATAAAAGTTGGACCGGCTGCAAGAAAACCTCTTCCAAGAGGACTGTAAGGAACAATTCCGATCCCAAGTTGTCTGAATTAAGCAGAAGAAGATGATGACTATGAAGAAAGAATCAAGAAGAAGGATAATCGAAGAACAATAATACAATAATACAATAGATATATCAAATTAATTAACTACATCAATCAAACAATGGATATGTTGATGTTAATAATTAAATCCACCTGCAAGTTGGAAGAATTTGTTGTTCGAATTCTCTGGACCATAAAGACCACTCTGTCTGAACAGCTGTTAATCGATGAACAGCATGAGCCCTTCTGATCGTCGCACCCGATGCCTCCGATAATCCGATGTGCTTTATTTTCCCTTCTTCCACCAATTTCTTTAATTCTCCTATCTATATATTATTATTTGATTTATATATAAACATGCAGTGACGGAACTAGCTTTCAGATTTCGAGGGCAAAATTATTATGTTATTTTTATTTTTTTATTATTTAATTTTAGTTTTATGTTTTGAACCGTTAATTTCCAGACATTTTATTTGAACCGATAAAATAACCTATTTATGTATGAAAACATTATAAGAATTTATTCATCAGTTCGCTACTATTAATTCGACTCCACTTTATTTTATTTTTTATTTTTATTTTTTGACACTATAGTAAAATTATGAAAAATAAATAAATAAATGAAAATTGAAAAAATAGAAGAAAAAAATATACAGTATATGGTAAATTTGTATTAAAATTTAGAATAAAAAATTATATTTTTTTATATAAAATATTTATAATTAAAATTATTATATAATATTATAAATTAAAATAATAATTTAGGAATAAAATAGAGTAGAAATTTTGAATTAGGGGGACAAAATTACATAATTAGATTCAATAAAATTACTTTTACTCTTTGGGTCCTTCCATGTATATATATATATATATATATATAGATGAATGAAATTAAAAAGACATACAAAATTAATAGCAAACAGACCGTGTCTTCAATTGGGACTCGAGTATCGATCCGATGAACGTAATAGAGATCGATGCAATCAATTCCAAGGCGCTGCAAGCTCGACTCGCAAGCAGCCCTTACGTACTTAGGATCTCCTCTGACCTCTAATTTTTCGTCGCCTTTCAAACTCACTCCAAACTTTGTCGCCACTTCGACTTTGTTCCTCCACCCTCCCTTTAATGCCTATACCAGAAAACTTCGTTATATATATAAATATATAATTTTTATTACTATTCAATTCATAAATTTTCTTTTAGAAATATTTTTCATGCAAAAGTAACTACTTTCAACAACTATATATTATTCTAGTGTGAGATTAGATTTGTGATCGTGAAATTATGGGTTCAAACTCCCAACGTTTCTGGGTCTTGTTTGTCATATTTGGCCTATTTTCCACGTTATTTAAAAAAAAATAAAAATTGTGGGTTGCTAAAATGGAATGGGCATTGAATTCAATGTTATATGTTTTAAGTAACTTAGATTTTGCTTTTTACAATAATAAAAGTTTTTAGTGAGTTGATTTTGTATTTTTGGGTGACATGATTTTTTATAAATATTATATAAAGAAAATATAATATATATATATATATACATAATTATCACTTTTGTTCACAAGCGGCTGGAGAACGTAAATGACGACTTTTATATAAATCGCGCTGTATATATTTTTTTACAACAAAATAAATTACAATTTAGTAGAGGTGGAGAATCTTTTTTATAATTTTTCTTATTTTCATATTATTAATCAACAACAATACTAAAAAAAAAATCAATTATATCAAATATATATTTTCTCGAACAAAATAAAATATGACATTAAACATTCAATTTTTTACTGTTTTCAAAATTTTTAAAGGCGCAAAAATCTCTATCTAAACGAACGAGCTGTACTTACTTTGCCGAGGAGAATCTCGTTCGTGTGCGGTCCATAAAAATCGGAAGTGTCAAAAAAGGTGATTCCCAAGTCGATGGCACGGTGAACCAATTTGATCATTTCCATTTGGGGCGGCGGCGGCCCGTAGGTGGCGGACATCCCGACACACCCCAACCCCATCTTCGACACCTCCAACCCCTCCGGCCCCCCGAGCTTCACTCTCGGCACCGCTACCCCCGTCGGGGTCGATGTTGTAGCTGCAACCATTAATTTTGCTTCCATGCAGGCTGGTTTTCTTTGGCTACTATTGCTTAGTTATGAATTAAATTATAATTGGAGGGTGGGTGAGCTATGCTTGTTAGAACAACTATATTTCTTGAGACAAATTGATCTCTATAGCCATCCTTAATTTATATATATATATATGTGTATATATATATATATATGTTAATATGTATTATGAAGATTATTTAAATGTAATAGAGATAAAGCATTCAAGTGAGTAGGTAGGATCATGGACTAGGGGTTTGTTTGTGTAGAACATAAAAAATTGTGTAGATATATTGTCAAATCGAACAAATCTTTATATGAAATTAAAAAAAAAAAGAAAATAAAAATAAATTGAATGACGATGGGAGTAATACTTTTTCTAATCCATAATTTTTGTTCAATTTTATCTTTTGTCACATTTTTTTTAAAAATAATTATACATTTAGATCATATTTTAAATTTTATAACCTGTATTTTTTTTTCTCAATTTTAATTTATAATTATTTGTATTGTATTATACTGTAATCAGTTTTATTAATATATTTTTTAATTAATTACTAATTATATCACTGCTGAAATTTTGTTTATACCGTATACATGCCAAACGATGCAGGGCAGAAGAAGTAACATATTAATTTATTTTTTAATTTTCTCATATTTATACGATTGTTCACTTAATGTTTTTAGATGGAATGATTACTTATAAATATTATTAAAAAATATTTGTTTCAAGTAAGTATCATTTTTATCATTTTCTTTTATCTCATTTCAACGTACTTTTTTCCTACTTATAAATATTATTAAAATATTATTATTTTTTAATCTACTACAAAATCGAAAGATCTCGTTTGATAAAGAAGGAATGGAGTATATAAATTTTCATATATAACATAAAATTTCATCCATCCAAGAATACAAAATTAACAATTTCATTACTTTTACTGGTTTGACTTTTTGGCGACCAGATGGTTATGGTGTATTTGGTTTTGGTCGGAAATTGGAATTTTAGTTGGATTAAGATTTTAAGAAGTGTTTGCGTTGGTATTTGATTATAAATTAGTTTTTTTTCTAATGATGTAGTTGATATTTAGTTAGCTAAAGTAAAATATACTCCATCTGTCCAATTTTTATTGTCCTAAAGTATATTTACACAATTTGTTAGGCGATTGTCTTTTTATTATAAATTGACAAATTTGCCATTAATTGTATGGTAGAGATTAAAAGTAATAAATGAATGAAGGGTAAAAATATAAAATTTGTGTTTAAAAAAAAAATAGGACAATAGTTGTTGGACGTCCCAAATAGAAAAGTAGGACAATAGTTTGTAGACGGAAAGGGAGTATTAAACAATGTGATGTTTTAAATTTAAAAAAATGAATGAATTTAAGTATAATACTCCCTCCGTCCAACTTTTTATTTCCAAATTTCTATTTGTGTCCGTCCTATTTATTTTGTCATTTTTTTAAAAAAAGAATTATATACTTTTAATCTTATTTCAAACAATTTAATTTATAATTTTTTTTAATTTTAAATATATTAATCAGGTATCTTAATCTTAATTTATAATTATTTTTATTATATGATAATTATTTTCACTAATACATTTTTAATTATTTACTGATTATACTCCTCTTAAATTCTCGTGTCTACAGTAAAACGAACAAAATATCCGGAACGGAAGGAGTAATATACTATAATATTTTTTTGGATTATTTTTAATTCTTTTTAAAATAGTATAATTGATATAATTATACATAAATTTAAAATAATTCAAATTAAATAATTTAAAATTCACATGAAATGCAAGTTTGAAAGTGTGATCAAAACATATAAACAAATCGAAAATGTGTCTATTATTATATTAGCTTAATTTTTGAATATAAATTTATCCTATGTAGATAGGGGTAGTTTAATTAATACGTACTCCCAAATCTTTAGTATAGGGCTGCCTACGGCTAGGTTTCAACGGCGGCTTTGGACAAGACCGAGTTACTAAAATTCCAATAAATTGGACAATATCTCTTTATTTTTATTATAAATATAATATATATATATATATACTCCCTTCGTCCGATTCTATCTAAAAATTACATTTATTTTTTATGTGTTAATTTTTTAATATTAATTAATATATTATTTTTGTCCGGCTCTAAATGTCTTATTTTCTTTTTGCATGTTAATCTTTAAATATTTTAATTATTATATAAAAAAACAGTACAAATTAAGAAAAAATTACAAAAATACTTTTATTAGTGTCTTATAATACTAATAGGATATTTTTACAAAAATTTATACAAATATAATACTCACTCCGTCTACCGCCTATCTATTTGTTTACTTTTTGCACGTAGATTTTAGTATATCAGTATTATATTGATATGTGGTATAATTGATATACATAAAGACTATTATACCCTTTAACATTTATGGTATTAAGTAGTGTTATTTGATGGCATTTGTATAATATTATATAAAGGATGATGTAATTTTATATTTTAGTGGAAGATACTTTTACTAAAAAAAAAAAGAAATAGATACATTTGTGATAGACAGACTAAAATGACAAAATGGTTAGATTGGCGGTGGACGGAGGGAGTAATATTTTTAATGTTAAGTACAATGACGCAAAAGATAATTGAGAGGGTATCAAAATGTAGTACACATTAAAAAAAATAAAAGTACAAAAAACTTTTATTAGTGTCTTATAATACTAATATAATAATATTTGTACCAAAAAAATTATATAAATATAAAAATATTTTTAATATTATGTACAATAACACAAAAGATAAATATAGCTGCGCTCAGAGGAGGACGAAAGTAATATTTATTTATTGCTTAAAATTATTTTGTACTATATGTTAAAGTATGCAACAAATATTTTCAATATTATTTTTAAATAAAATAAATATATAAATAATTGATCAATTTTTTATTTCACAGTAACTTAATTTTTATAAATGATGAAATGAAGGACCGATCAATTTTCTTAAATTTTTTTATTGAAAAAAATAATATTTAACATATTTCATTTCCTTTCATTTGTTTATATAATGTTTGTATAATTAGACACATTACTACCAACAAAGTTAGTTTTTGAATGGAGATAACATTTTGCAAATATTTTAATATAATATAAATGAATTTTATATAATAAATAAATAAAACATAATGCATTATTTTATTATATCATTTACATATAAAATTAGAGGTGGACACAATTGTATATTTATATATATATATATTTGGTATTTGAGAATAAGTATTCAAAAGCGTTAACTACATTTGAATTGAAATTTTTTGTTTTAACTGAGTTTTCAGTTAATTAAATATATTTTTATTTATATTTTGATCCAATTAAATATTAAATAATATTTAATAAATAAACAAAAATTTGAATTTAACCTAAAATATTTATTAATTTGGAACCTAACTGAATTGAAATAGCAAATATATTTAAGTATGCAAATATATAAATACAATATTAATGATATTTAATTTCTATAATATAATTACTAATATATAAATTCTTCAATATAGTAATATCAATCGGGGCGTGTTTGATAATTAGTTGATTTAATTAGCTGGTTTGATTAGCTGATTCGATTAGCTGTTTGTATTAAAATGTTTGGTAAAACAACTTTTTGATATTAGCTCTTTATACGTAAAATGACAATTGATAACATTTCTATTTTATTTTTGTTTCTAATATATTCAATTATGTTCTTTTGAGTTTAGAATGTTTAAAATTTTTTATTATTAGTTATTGAAAATTGTAAAAGTGTTATAAAAATATTTATTTTTATTACAGTTAGATTTTAAAAAAAATAGATTTTTATTAAAATATATAAATAATTTTTTTTATTGAAAATGATGTAAAATATAAAATAATAAATTTTTCGTGTATATATTTATTAGGTTAGTTATCAATTAGTTCATTATATTTATAATTTTCAATAAATTTAATTTATTTAATTTATTTTTAGTATTAAAATTTATATAATGTAATTTTAATAAAAAAATAAATTATTAATATTTATATTTTTTATTTTATGTTAATTTTAATAAATTTATATATTTTACAATTAAAATAATTTTTATATAAAAATTAATTATTTTAAATTTATAAAAGTAAAACTATAATATAATAAAATATTCTAATATAATTAATAAATAATTAAAATATATTTATTTGTGTAAAATGTATAATAAATTTTTAAGGGCATATAAGGAATAAAAAAAATTTTACAAAAAAAACTATTTCAAAACGCTGGGTAAGTTAGCTTTTCATAAATTAGCTTTTTGGATCCAAAAAGTTATTCCAAAAAGCTAATTTACCTAAATTAGCTTTTTGACTGGTCAAACAGCTAAAAGTTGTTCAATAAGTTGTTCAATAAGTTGTTCGTAAGTTGTCAAACAGCTAAAAGTTGTTCAATAAGTTAAAAGCTCTTCAAAAAACTATTTGCCAAACACCCCTCAATCTAATTATTTTAACTTACGAAAGAAATAAAAATTTGAAATATACTTGAGCTAAAGAAATAAAAATTTGAAATATACTTGAGCTAAACAAATATTAATCAAATTTATTTTTATTTTTCTATTTAGTCTCACCTATTAAATTTACTTAATACTAATTTTGATAAAGTTAGCAAATTAATATTTAACTATTAATTTTTATTTATCACTTATTTATAACAAATAATACTATTTTATTAAATTCTTTTTTTTTCTTATTTTTAATTAAAATTTTTTCAAAAATACTTTTAATTATCTTTTTATTTTTATTATTTTTTCATAAAATATTCATTTTTTTTTATTTTCGTACTAAACCCAAATATTCTCATTTTATCAAACGGAAGGAGTATAATATTTGTATCTCAGTCAAATTAGTAGAGTGTTTGTTTAGGAGTTTAAATTTTGAAAAATAAAATTTTAAATTTGAATAATTATTTGATGCGATATAAATGAGAGTTTATGTAATATTTTGAATGTAGAACTAATTTTTAATAAAATATAAAAAAATATATATTTAATTTGATGGTAATTTTTTATTTTTTTTGAATAGTTAAAATCGATTTGATATTTCTTACCCCTAAAAATCATAGCTACATGTTGATATCAATATATTTGTTTGATTTTTTTTAGTGGTTTAGATAATTTTTATTCCATCCTTTTTTTTTTCATATTTCTTTTTGAAATAATTTATAAATTAGTAAAATTTATATATTTAGTGATGAAAATTGTATATAAATAAAAAAATCGCAAAAATAAGAGATAATCCAAATAAAAAAAATAATATTTAAAGACATAAGCTCTATTTGTACATATATTTTTTAACTGGGAGATCAGGGTTTGTTCTTCTACCGTTCTTCATAAATATATATTTTCCAAAACAAGTAATATATTACACGGCACTTTTATTTTTATATTATTTTCAAACAAATCTTACTAAACAAACACACCGTGTTGATTTGTTTTAATTGAACTATTGTGCTGATGAGTAATTAGTTATGTAATTATATTACATCATTAATAATGATTTATTTAATGACATAATTAGTTGTTAAATTAAAACATAAGTTCAATTTAGCACCTGATCCACTTCTTATGATTTTTTTTTTGTTTTAATAAAAAGAAATTGTACTATTCATTAATACTTATTTTTAAAAAATATATCACTTTAAATATTTTATATATAAAATATCATATTCAATAATTTAATTTCGGATAAACTATTTTTTTAATCTCATAACTGAATTCTTTTATCATTGTAGTACGTGGAGGATGTATTAAAATAGTCCGTAAGTAGAAAACTTTCGCACATTTAGTTTTCCAGCGGCGGGATGCCTACGTGGCACACCAGAGGACACGTATATGTCAGATAAGCACCACCTTTTGGACACGTGAATAATTTTTCTATTTTAATTTTAATCCCCTGTAAGTAAAAATTTTTTGCACATTTAATTCTAAAAAATATAAAAATTATTCACATATCCGCTAGGTGGCTCTGACCTGGCAGACACCTGTCATCCGGCAAGCCACGCAGACATCTCTGGCTTCGGAGAATTTTATATGCGAAAATGTTTCACTTATAGGACTATTTGAAGATAGTCTTCAAGTACTGGACTAAAATAATAAAAAAGTCCACCTCCAAAACTAAAAAAATAATTTATCCTTTTATTTTTATTATTTTAAAAATTCAAATTTTTATCTAAACAAACCTTACATACTTAATTATATATTTTTTTATATATATCTACAAAAATTTAAACATTGGTCAAATATGTATAAATATAGATATAGGAATAGATACGACTAATTTTTTTTATATATCTACACAAATTTAAACATTGTCTTTCATATTAAATGTATTGTATTATTTTTAACTTTGTTGACCTTTTACTTTGAATCAAACAACTTGCGTTTGTTTGATTACTGACTTGAGATTAGAACATTGATCAATACTAATTCTTCTATACGTTTTTTGTATATCTAACTTAATTTTTTATAAAAAAATATATCGACTAACTAATTTTTTAATTTATTTTCTAAATATATGTATACACTTTTTATTTTATATTAACTAATTTATGTTAACAATGTACAAATATACACATTCTATTCTATGCATTTGTATTATATAAATATCTACTTTTAATGATACTCAATTTGTGTCACTTATATATATTGTCCCAAAGTTTTTTACGGAAGATTAAGAAAAGAAATAGCATTATGCTAATTTAGTGGATTTAATGAGTTTGTTCATTTTATATTTTTAAATGAATGTATTTATTTACGTTAGATATTGAAATTTATGTTGGTAATATAAAAATTAATATTTTTTTGTTAAATTATTGATTTTTTATTAGTAAATAAAGTATATATATTATATATATTGTGTTAATGTATATATATGTATATATATTATTATAGGGTAAACCGTTTTTTAGGTCTCGTATCTGACTCCATTATCATTTTAAGATTTTAAGTGGAATCTGTTTGAAAATTGTCTCGTAAGTAAACAAATTTCGCTAAAAATATCCTTTGGCGTCGGATTCGCCATGCTGGCCTACTAGTACTGACGTGGCTGACATGTCATCGCCACGTAGATTTTTTAAAATTATATATGTTTATATTGACTTTGGTCAACATTGGACCAAATTGTAAAATATAATTTTAAAATTTGATCCAATTGGACCAAAGTGTAAAATTAATGCATGCCTTCAAGATAGACATAGAGACGAATACACTCATTTCCTCTTCCAATCATTCTCGTTTGCCCTAAAACATTCCCATCGCGATTCTTCTCTCAACGAAATTGATGCCGCAGCCGCCCAAGAAGCTGCCGGCGGATGACTTCTTCTCCCCCGCATAAGTAGCTCTACTTCATTTCCTTCAATTTGTTTAGGGTTTAGAGAATCTTCAAAAAATTTTAACAAATCGGGCAAAAAATCGAACTTTCGGAAATTTTCGAGAGGTTTAATAATTCATTCCTTTAGAATCATTCACCCAATCGCCTGGTTTAAAAGTTTTAAAGTTGATTTTTGTTGAGTAAATTGTTTTGTTCGAACATAATAACTTAGGTATTTTAAGTTGTTAGCGAATTTGTATTCTAATTTTGGATTTATTTGTATTTCAGCTCGATGAGACGACGTGGGTGTCCCTCAACCGCTAGGACTAGGTGTGAATATCTACTATGGGGGTAATATATTTCGAACGTCTTCTCATAAGTATGTTGGAGGGTATATGAGAACATTTCAAGATTTTACCGTAGAGGCCATTACCGTGGCAACATTGCATTCTTGTGTTGCTAGTTGTGGACTTGAAAGACAGTCCGAGTATGCATTTTTCATTTTTAATGATGGTCGTTTTGAAGCTGTAATAGACGATGTCAATATTGTTGAATATGTGAGGGAGACAATGGGTTTAGGGCTTGGTCAAAATGTGAGTTTTTTCTTGGGGAATGTTTGATAAAAGACAATGATGAAATGTTGTCAAATGAAGATAGCGACTATGTGGTGGAGAGCAAGAGTGTTGGGGAGGATGATATTTTATTTTCAGAGTATGTTGACTTGATAGATGAGGGAGAGGGTCATGTGGGTAGTTGTGACGAGGTCGGTTGTGTAGTTTGACGGTGGATGGTCAAAAGGGGCCATCTAAAGTCATTGATGATGAGGCGGACATATGTTTATCTGATTTGGATATTGGAGATGATGTTTCAGAAGAGAAAAATAGTGAAATTGTGCATGGTGAGTTAGATGTTTCTCCTGATTGAGGCGATCTGAATGTGAGTGACAACGATGGCGATCACAATGAAGTGGTTGTTGTTGGCAGTGACGAAGAAATGAGAGATTTGATTGCGTATGATGAGGACCGGGCTGGCCCAAGCAAATTCAGCACCTTCCGTAAGGTTGACTTGCTTAGTACGAAATTTGAAATTGGAATGCATTTCAACAATAGGACAAAGTTTAAAGATACTTCAACTTATATGCGGTGGTAAGTAAAAGGCCTATTCGGTTTTCAAAAATAGACAAAGAAGGATGTTATGCTGTTTGTAGGAATGAAAATTGAAAATGAACAATTAATGCTCGTGTGATGAGTGATCGAAGGGCATTTAAAGTCATTCTTTTTCACAGTGAGCACAATTGTGAAGAGAAGTTTAACGTTGCCAATATGAAGACAAAATGGTTTAGTAAGAAATATTGTAAGCTTTTCAAGTCTGATCTGAAACGCAACATGAATGCATTTCGTGTTGACGTGGTTAACGAGTTGAAGGTCAATGTGACGAAGAATATGGCTTACAGAGCCAAGAAGAAAGCGCTACAGGACCTAGAGGGCGTTCCTACCCATCAATATACCCGTTTATGGGATTATGCCAATGCGCTCAGGGGAGCAAATCCGGGTTCAACTGTTTTACTTGGTTGTGAAAGGGATGGGGAGGATTCTATCTTTGATAGGGTGTACATTTTTTTGATGCGTTGAAAAGGGATTTCAAGGTCGGATGTAGACGTTTAATTGGTGTGGATGGTTGTCATATGGATGAGTCATTTTTACAGCTCTTGGGATTGATCCCAACAACTGTATATTCCCCATTGCATATATGGTAGTTGCTAGAGAAACAGTAAAGATCTGGACTTGGTTTTTGACGATCTTGAAAAGGGATTTGGATATAGGAAACCATCATGAGGTGTGTTTTATATGCGACAAGCAAAAGGGACTTGTAAATGCATTAGAGAGTTTATTTCCGGGTATGGAGCATAGAAGTTGTGTACAACAATTACATAACAACTTCATGAAAGCAGGATTTAAGGGATTAGCGCTAAAGAATGGATTGTGGAAAGGTACAAGGGTAGCAACTGTGGGAGAATTCAAGACAGCAATGTTGGAGCTTAAGCAGATTGATAAAAAAAGTTGTGAATGGTTGGAAAATCAGCCGGCAAACGAGTGGAGTAGGTCACATTTTAAGTGTCTTTCGAAGTGTGACTTTCTTGTGAATAACCTGTGTGAGAGTTTCAACAGATGTATTAGCGATGCCAGGGCATATTCTGAGCATGTTGGAATCGATTCGGGAGTACTTGATGGAAAGGCTTCAAGAAAATAGGGATTATGCCCGGAGGCGGTGGACTGATAAAGTCATATGTCCAAGGATTATGAAAGTACTTTATAGAAATCGGGCTAAGGTAGGTGATTGTATCCCATTGAAATCTGATGATACACATTATCAGATTTCCTATTTCGACGGTAGTTAGCACTGTGTGGACTTGTCTGCTCGGAGCTGCATGTGTAGAAGATGGCAGCTGACTGGAATCCCTTGCCAGCATGCCATTTCAGCCATCAACAACCAAGGAGATGATGCGATAAATTATGTTGAGCAAGTATACTATGTTGAAACATATAATCAATTTTACACCTTCTCCATCAAAGCTGTTAGCAGTGAAAAGTTTTGGGAGCCAACCAACTTCGTACCACCTAAGCCACCACCAATAGAAAAAAAAGGCGTTGGTAGACCGAAGAAGCTGAGGAAACGGGAAACTGGAGAAGGCAAGAAAAAGGTTAAGGTAAAAGATAGCACCCAGAGGCTGAAATGGTAGCAACAATCAATAAAATGTGCGACTTGTCGAGAAGTTGGCCACAATGCACATTATTGCCCCCAAAATGTCGATAAACGGATTGTTGAAATTGTGGCTGTTGAGGTGTTCACATTATTTCAGATCTGCTTTCTTAATACTACTAGCTATTAATTTCTAATAATTTTTTTGTTTAGGCCGCAGTGCCACTATGAAAGGGAATACGCAATACATCTGCAAGTTCCATCCAACCGAGGCGTAGTGTAAGTTTCATTTATTTTAGGTTGTTCACATCTCTAATGATTAATTGTGAATTATTTTTTGGTTTTTTTTTAGCTTTGGTTGCAGTCAAACAGTGAGGGGCCACAAGAACAAGTTGTTTCAATATAGTACAGTCGGACAGTTGGTTCGGAGATTCTCACACAAAATTCACAATTAATCCCCACGAAGAATAGTCGGTTACAAGTAAGTTGTTCAATACTCACACAAAATTCACAATCATTCTCCAAATGATTCATTTACCATGTCTAAAAGAGTTACTCATCTAACTTTGTGTACCCTGTGTTGAATAGGATCCTCATAATTTGCCATTTCCTATTCCACGTCATTCAAAACGACCACAACGGAAGAGAAACATCACTCAGGCATTAAGCACATGTCAAGACGACTGCCAACCCACTTTGCAAGATGACTTCCAGCCCATATAAGCAATTCCACAGGTTTGTGTAACACAAGTCCGTTGTCACGTTTCAATTTCATAATTCCTAAGCTAAGTTTAATTACCGTATGCAAGCAGAGTACGCTAAAGGGAAAGGAAATAGTGAAGGTAGCTCCAATAAAGCCTTCACATGGCCCTCCAATGTTTGAACAAGGAAACTTTGGTGGTAAAAAATCAAAGAAGGAGATCCAATTACCACTTTCAGAAATGCCAGCAACTGTACGGGCAATGGAATTGAGATGACTGATTGAGAAGAACGAAAAGTTCCTTGGGGATGACAAACCACGAAGGAGAGGATGACCGAAGAAGAACGTATAATTTTATTTCTAACTATGCGCAAGTTGTGGTTGATGACACATGAATGCATGGTTAAACAATGACTTAATTTTGGGTTTAGTTATGTTCTGCTACAGCTTCAGTTTTGGGTACTGCGTTTTGTGTTGATGCTCACCTTTTTTTGTTTGAAAGTGGGAAGAATCTTTAATATGATATGTTAGGCTAACTTTTTGATGTTCTACAACTTAATTTTTCGTTTTGATGTTGGTATTTGGTATATGAAACATTACTGTTAGGCTAACTTTTTTCTATGTTAATATATCTTTAATTAATGTTTTATTTGGCAGAATCTGCATGCCCCATTTAACAACACCTTCTAAAAAATATGAGGCGTCCAATTTTATTGAATTGTGCAATGTGTGTTTTCTCTGCATTAGCTATACAAATTTAGATACCAAAATTAGCTTAAAATTTTCAGCTCACATAATCAAATCTTAATAAGATACTAACAATACTATCCACAATATAAAACTTCTCAAACAAAAGTCACATTACAATAATTGATATTCATCCAAGCTTCAAATTTTTCTAAAAATCAAAATCACAAAATATCATCATAAGAAAACTTTCTTATGAAACCATGATCATTCAAAACAAACAGTCTTTTCATGGCATTACAATGTATTACAAAGCTAGTTAGACAAACATTCTACTAGAGTAATGCAACATAAAATGGAACAAACAAAGGATAACAACATACAATCCGAGACATAAAATACAAGAAGCCTATTACGTTGCCTCAACAGACTTCTATTTTTTTCATCATATTTGAAGCCAGACCTTCAAAACATAGCCGCAAAACGCCGTAATAAAAAAACAACTACCAACAATGATTCTAAATAACATTTGGTTACGCTGCTTCAACCTCAAGATTTCTGAATCTTTGTCATTTAATTTTCTCAACACGCCAGGAATAATGGCCTTGGCACGTGCACACATTGGGGGATCTTCCCAGGAAAAGTATCCACACCCACCTTTTCCACCTCGTTGAGAATCCAATACAAAGAAACTAAATAACACTCGAACTACATAACTTGAACAAAACTAAATAATTTTTTCATACTTACACGATACTTCCCGCAAGAATTAAACCTGCGTCCTGGATTTTCATTTGTCCATGATGTTCTAACGACACTCCGACGTCCATACAAACACTTAGTGATGCCGGTTGTTGTTGATGAAGTTGACATTCTGGGAAAATTATTGTACACAATTTCACAAACTTGGAATTAAGATAATATAGCACTAATATTAATGAAATTCAAAATTTTTACAAGATACTCAGGTCATGTTCTGAGTACAACGAGAAAATCACTATGATTACCATATAATGACACTTCCGCCATACACAAAATCCAAATATTTATCTTCATCTATCTGCAAGAAATATGTAATTAAAATGAAAATACTAGCCATTTTTTATTTTCGATATCCAAATACATAAGGTAATTTGCTAAATTCGAACAAAACAAAAGAAAATTTGAAAGCTACTCAATTTGGACATAACAAACAACTCAACAACCTAAAGTAAATTACTAAATTCACCTAAATTTGTTATATATGAAAGTTTAAGAAAAACCCACTGGAAACCCAAATATAAAATTCCAACACGAAAATCAACTTTAAAACTTTCAAACCAGGCGATTGGGTGAATGATTCTAAAGGAATGAACTATTAAACCTCTCGAAAACTTCCGAAAGTTTGATTTTTTTCCCGATTTGTTACAAAGTTTTGAAGATTCACTAAACCCTAAACAAATTGAAGGAAGAGAAATAGAGTTACTTACGCGGGGGAGAAGAAGTCATCCGTCGGCAGCTCCTTGAGCGGCGGCAGGGGCGTCGATTTTGTTGAGAGAAGAATCGCGACGGGAATGATCTAGGGCAAGCGAGAATGATTGGAAAATGAAATGGGTGTGTTCGTCTCTGTGTCTATCTTGAAGGCATGAATTAATTTTACACTTTGGTCCAATTGGATCAAATTGTAAAATTATATCTTACAATTTGGTCCAATATTGACCAAAGTCAATATAAACATATTTAATTTTTTTAAAAAAAAAATCATGTGGCGTCACGTGATGATGACATGTCAACCATGCCAACGCCACGTCAGCGCTTGCGGGCCAGAGTGGCAAATCTGGCGCCAGAGGACCTTTTTAACAAAATTTGTTTACTTACGGGACTATTTTTAGACATAGTCCACTTAAAGTCCTAAAATGATAATGGGGTCAGATACGAGACTAAAAAATTAGTTTACCCTATATTATAATTAATAATATTTGTGTGTTTTGTTCAACATCTGCTTTAGTTTTCATAACATTAATTTGATTCGATACAACATTATTTAAATTCTGGATTCGTGCTTCATGTATTCCCACAAGTTATGGTAAACTGTTACTTGGTTCTGTCATAGATACCGGTGTATCTTCTGATGTCCGAATCATTGTCGGCTGCAACGAGGGTGGATGCCAGCGTATCAATTGCCATGTAATTCCTTGCATTCATAGCTTTCGCATCGAGCTCACATATATCCGGCTACAACCTCTGCAACAACGACTCAATTTGAAAAAGCCTCCCATACCCGAATGTATATATGTTTGTATTCACCATATTGTTTCGTAAATGGTTTTCTTTCGATCAAACTCTATAAAAAGTTGTACCTGCATATATAGAGATATATAGAAGAAAATGTTACTTTGATTTTTGCCCTTGTTGTAGCTAGCGATAGGTGAATAAATGAGTAAGGTACTAAGATGTATCGAACAATCGTCGATCTATATTTCTTCTCAACTTTGAATTGAATCCTTTATCGTGGACATCGTATTTTTCTTCTATTTCTTATTCTTCATACTTGTTCATTGATCCGGTGAAATGATCAGAAACTATATATAGTTTGATAACACTTGCTAACCAGAGAATAGATTGTTAGCATATGCATATATATATATGTGTGTGTGTGTGTGTTGTCTTAATATACATTGTATACTTAAGATTAAATGTAGTATGAGCAGCGTAAATTGGTATTAATATTTGCTAAGTTTACTTTGAATGATAGTATTATAATCAATATAGTTATTTAAATAGACTATATAATTATGAGATTAATTAATATAATATTTTGTTAGGAATTTGTTTCATTTAGGATCGATGACTCGGGTTATTCCTGCAACCAAATAATCTCACTAAGAGTGTTAATAGGTTAATACCAATATTCAGAATAATAATAACAAATAAAAATAAGAAAGCAATGCTATTATATAAACGAAATATCTGGAATAATTAGGAAGGCTCAGATCACAGCTTACTTCGTGCCAACTCCAAGCCTTCCAATGAGACAACACTACAAATGGGAGAAATCGAAGGTTTCATCACCAAGGAATCAGTAATCTCACAAAAGGGCAAAAGGAACACAAAGTTTAAGAGGGAGAGGAGAACCGGCAAAACTTCGGCTAGCACAAAGAAAAAACACAAAGCAAAACACAAAGGATTGACGGCACCAAGCGATTGATCTTTCCTTTCGGCTTCCACACCCCAAACCAACAAACCCGGCAATATATTTATAGCCGAATGGAGATAACAGATAAACCCATGAAATTAGGAGCAAAACTTACCTTATCGATGAAGAAATGTAGGACAAGAGTGTATGAATAGCAAAAATCAACAAAATTCCACATTCTTTCTCGCAGGTGAACCAGAGTAAACAAAAAATAGAGGAAGTGAATTCGGGATTGTAACAAATGGATGAGATTTGATTTAAGAATCAAATCGGGTCATAGTATTGGATTGGGTCAAATCGGATCCGGGTTTGGGCTGCTTGGTTGACGTAACATGTGTGTCTTCGTATATTTTTTCCAGGTTGAAAGAATAACCTTAATCAATGTAAGAAATTCGAGAAAAAAATATATAAGATATAGCAAAAATTTGGTACCCAACCTAGTTGATTAAGAACCTCAATAATTTAATCTTGGACCCAAAATCCTAACTATAGAAAATGAATAAATCGATAGGCTTAATTCTTTTGCAAGAATTTAGAAGTCACGAACCAATGAATAATTTCAAAGACCCGATTTGAAAACAATGTGCAATGAATCACTCACTCACACTTTGAAAGTAAACACAATGAAAAACAAAAGTTTTTAAAGGAAGATATATATATTATGACCAAAGTTGAGATGAAAATGAATACAAGAGCCTATATATAGGCCAAAGGGAGGGGGACAAAACACTTACTACCATTAAATTGGCAACACATTCCCATAGAGAACGTATTTTAATATACATAATTGTTACATGTCCCCAAAATCATATTACCAATATCACGATAATGGCAATACATTCTCAAAAGAACATATTTCTAAAATTGTAATTAATGGTAGACAAAAAGTGATGTAAACAATGAGGTCAATCCTATGATGTAAGCAATGACATCACCATATGTGATGTAAACAATGATGTCAATGCTTATGATGTAAACAATGATCTCATCACATGTCTTCAATTATTTTGATTTGTATAACCGTTAAGCTCGAATCGATAGGTCTCCATGCTTCATCTTTGTTTATATTATTCATATCGAGCTTTGAAATTAAGTGATCGGAAATTTTTGGAGAGTTTTTAAAAATATCTTTTAAGATACAAAAAAAAATGATATATGTATAAAATGAAAATATTGTCGTGTGTGTTCGTGTAGTCACTCCAAAAACTTCGTCAAAAATAAAAAATCTCTTTAACCGGTGAGTGTCCGGGTCGAACTCAGGGAATATGATGTGGATTATGACTACACAAGATGATTACACGAAACTTTCATTTGCTTAATGGAAAAGTGATTTTCTAACTGATGTGGATTTTGCCATTCGGCCACAACATTTTTCTTGCATTCATCAAGAATCCTCTAACATGTTCTCTATGCTTGTTGATAAGATCGGAGCTTCTTTTCTTGCCCAAGAAACCAGGATGGAGAAATTGAAGACGATTCAATAAAAAAAATTTTCCGATCACAATCAAGATTTGACATATCATTTGCATTCACACCGTGAATCAGAGTCGCGCCTAGCCCTCCCAACATCGCCGAATTCTCGCTTACATTTTGTTATTTTCTCAATAAATCATGGTGAGTATGCAAAGAAGTTGCGACAATGTTGGTGGCTTTAGTGAAGGCAATGACCAAAGACAGTGAAAATGAAAAATTTCCTTTCCAACCAACAGTATATTATAGATCGACAAATAGTGCTTTATCCACGTCCGTCGTCCCTGAGGATGAAGTTGGCAATCGGCTTTCTTTTTGAATTTCTTGTTCTCAGAAAATTTAAGAATGATTATGATTACGCAAGATGATTACACAAGACTTCCACTTGCTGAATGGAAAAATGATTTTGTGACTGATGTGGATTTTGTCATTCTCTATGCTTCTTGATAAGATCGTAGCTACTTTTCTTGTCTAAGAAACCAGCATGGGGAAAATTGAAGCCGTATCAATGAAATTTGTTTCCGAAGACAATTAAAATTTGACATATCAGTTGCATTTACAGCGTGAATCAGGGTCGTGCCTATGCCTCGCAACATCGCCAAATTCTCACTTGTATTACGATATTTCCTCAATAAATCATGGTGAGTATCTAAAGAAGTTGCGATGATATTGGTGGTTATAGTGAAGGCAATGGTCAAAGGCAGTGAAAAGGAAAAATTTTCTTCCCAACCAACAGTATATCATAGATCGACAATTAGTGCTTTATCCACATCCGCCGTCTCCGTAGACAAAGTTTGTCATCAGCTTTCTTCTTGAAGTTCTTGTTTAGAGCAAACTTAAAAATGATTATGATTAGACAAGATGATTATACAAGACTTCCAATTGCTAAATGGAATCGTGAATTTGTGACTGTTGTGAATTTCGCCATTCGGCCACAACATTTTTCTTGCATTTATCAAGAATCCTCTAACATGTTCTCTATGCTTCTTGATAAGATCGGGGCTGCTTTCCTTGTCCAAGAAACCAGCATGGGAAAAATTAAAGACGATTCGATAAAAAAAATGTTCCGAAGATAATCAAGATTTGACATATCAGTTTCATCCACACCGTGAATCAGAGTCGCGCCTAGGCCTCCCAACATCTCACCAAATTCTCGCTTGCATTTTGTTATTTCCCTCAATAAAACATGGTGAGTATCCAAAGAAGTTGCGACGATGTTAGTGGCTGTAGTGAAGGCAATGGCCAAAGACAGTGAAAATGAAAAATTTCCTTTCCAACCAACAGTATATCATAGATCGACAAATAGTGTTTTATCCACCTCCGTCGTCCCTGTGGATGAAGTTGGCCATCGGCTTTCTTTTTGAATTTCTTGTTCTCAGCAAATTTAAAAATTATTATGATTACGCAAGATGATTACACAAGACTTTCACTTGCTTAATGAAAAAATTATTTTGTGACTAATGTGGATTGATTTTGCCATTCGGCCACAATATTTTTTTTGCATTCATCAAAAAAATCCTCTAACATGTTCTCTATGTTTCTCAATAAGATCGGAGCTTCTTTTTTTGCCCAAGAAATCAGTATGGGAAAAATTGAAGACGATTCGATGAAATTTTTTTCCGAAAACAATCAAGATTTGACATATCAGTTGCATCCACACCGTGAATTCTTACTTCGCGCCTAGGCCTCCCAACATCGCCAAATTCTTACTTGCATTTTGTTATTTTCTCAATAAATCATGATGAGTATCCAAAGAAGTTGCAACGATGTTGATGGCTATATTGAAGGCAATGGCCAAAGACAATGAAAAGGAAAAAATTCATTCTCAACCAACAGTATATCTTAAATTGGCAAATAGTGCTTTATCCACCTCCGTCATCCCTGTGGATGAATTTTTCCATCGACTTTCTTTTTGAAGTTTTTGTTCTCAGCAAACTTAAAAATGATTATGATTACGCAA